TAGTAGTTGTAGTAGTCATACACTGATGCTGTGGAGTTCTTCTGCTCCTTATATACTTCACAGGATGCAGTATACTTCCTTGTTATCATATGGACTTTATACTCTTGGTTACCATAAGTTGTATTTTTAAAGGCGTTTTATTACATTGCTTCCCAGTGAATGTTAAAATAAGTGTCTTTTATGACTAATACAGTTCTTAGGTACTGTAATTTCATTAAGATTTGCCACAAATTAACTCACATTTCCTTATTAGCAGAACTGAATTGAGCCATCAGAAAATGTGCAAACTGGAAAAAACAACCAAAGTATTTTGCCCCATAAACTCTCAGATCTGAACCTGGACCATAATTCACCAGGAAAAGAACATGTTTGAACCAGGTGTACATCAGTTCTAATACAAAACTAATCAGGATCCCACCAGCTCTGAACCAGTACTAATCCAGGTCTAAATCTGGACTAGCAGAGAGAGAGAGATACTTTATTGATCTTCCGGGAAATTAAAGTTTTGTTGCAGCAACATTTACCCTGCACTTCCCAGTCCTCTTTGTGTCTCAGTCAAAGGTCTCAGTGCAGTTTGACAGGAGGACTGGTCAGGTAGGGTCAGCAGATCCTGTGTCAGGGCAGTTTAAGGAGAGGAAGAGACAAACGTTTCCCTAAAATAACTGATAATGAACCAATAATGAACCAAAAGTGTGTTTGGTACTGGGTGCATTCATCCACCCGGACTAAAGTGCAAAACCAGGATTAAATCAAATCTAGACAAGGACCAGTTAAAGCAGTGACCTTCAGATCAAGCATAAGTTGTAAACTGAGATAAAGAACAGTGAATGTGAAATGATTTAGATAAGAGTTTAAAGACGATGTGTGAAACGTGATGATGAATATAGCACAGATAAACAGTAAAGGCAATAAACACTGGACCAGAGTCAAGAGTGAGGCACATTCACAGAAATTACAAGAAAAACACTCACATATTTTTGAAAATACTCTATATTTTCAGGTGTGTAAATACATACTGGTATACAGAATCAGTGCTTAATAAAATTGTGACATTAGCAAGAAAAAGACAGAACACTTAAATACATTATAATTAAAGGGACCAGATTTTATAATCTTGTTTTTATCAGAAGATACCTGGAGTGCTGTTTTGTTTCTTTCACACAGGCCATGTCATGTCACACAAATGCAGCAACGAGTTCTTCTGTTCCACCTTGTGTTGTCATGTGGTATTGCAAGAAGTGCTCCACTGTGTTTTAAACTCCACCTTCACTAGAATCATTTGGATAATTTAAGTCCTGGAATTGCCAATCTTTACAAAACAAAAGGTAAAAGGTAGCTGTTAACTTGAACTACATGACATCACAAGGAGGAACAGAGCATTTTGAGCTTTGGAGATGTAGTCTGACCAATAATAACGGATTATTCAGACATTTGTAAATGAAACAATAAACAACTCCAGGTATGTTTTTGATGAGGTAATAGCATTATAACATGGATTAAAACTCACAAGAGTCAATTTTGTGTAATGCAGGATCTTGAACTTGCTCTGCCCTATACAGTATATGTTGATAATTTCACACATTATGCATTTAGAGTCCAGTTTCTGGTTCATTAAATGTCCATGTCCTGATTGGTTGATTTTCTCCAGTTCAGTTCCTGATCCTGAGATGGTCGACCACAAGAACAATCAGAACCAGACCTATGACTGCAGACAGGATCAGTCTCACCATGAGCTCAGTGTGGCAGCTGCTGCTCTCTGGAACCAAAATGGAAATAAACCTAAATGTGTTTCCAGCAGAACTAATCTGGAGCAGGTTAGGAATCATGAGAAATAATGACAGAAGTCTTAATATATTCACACTCAGTTGTGGGGTGTATATTGTAACTTGATTTTTTAATTAAAGCTAAGGTATATTTGATTAAATTCAGTGTTTGGCCAGTAATGGTCATTACTCCCTCTATCATGTCTCATCAGAATCAACATGATGAAACCAGTTTTGTTTATTTCAGTGACACTTGTGAAGGAGCTCATTTGTCACACCCCATCAATCAAAATTAAATTTCTCAAATGCCTGATATCTAACATGAATGACATTTACCTTCATTCTTCAGACACAGCTCGCTGGGCTGAAAAGTGGTGTTCTGTTTCTCCATTGGGTTTTGTGCTTCACAGATGTATAAGCTGGTATCACTGAACTCTATTTCCAAAGGGAGCGAAAGCCTGGCTAACTCAACACTGGATATGTTTTGGAGGTGGACTCTCCCTCTGAACCAGGACAGGCTCAGGTCTCTGCTGTTATTAGTAGAGCACTCGACCTGGAGCGGCTGGCACCCTCCCAGATGTGATTTTACTATGCTGATAGATGGTGGTGAGAGGGCATCTGAAAAAGAAATCAGTCGGTACCACTTTAAAATAACTACACCTTGTCTTACTAAAGCATGCAAGACTACATAATGAACAAATAATTTATTAAAAATTATTCAGGCTAAGAAACTACTTAATTAAAAGCCCATTTCCATGTATGTGAACAAAATATGTCTTGCCTAAGTGCACATTTAGTTTATTGTATATGCAGTTACTGAAGTTAAAATAAGTCCAGTGTGTGCTGTCTGCATCTAACTATAAAGCGTTTTATTCTTCCATAATAAGGAAGTGCCCTGTAAGCATGCGAGTTGTTGTTAGTTTCTGGCAAAACTCTCTCTCAAACACTGTTCTGGTTTCTCAGTTTTGAGAAGCTGTGAGGCGTGCTTATAAACTCACCATGGTGAATAATTAAGTTGCCTGGAATGTATAGGGTAAGTGAGAAATTATTTTGGACCAAAAAGTATGATTGAGGTGTGTGCATAATTGTTGGTGGTTGTCAGAGGGGCCGATGGTGCAGATGGACAGCCTCACTTACGTGACTCTATGCCAGGGCAACTGTCACTACTGTACAATAGTAATAAACGGTTAAATAAGACTAATGCATTATAGAGCAAGATCAAATCATCAGATGTGATGAAAGGACAGGAAGTGAAATGGTGTGTGGACAGAGAGTGCAAAGAAGACAGTCACAGAAACAAATTGACTTCTTACTGTAGACTGTGAGTTTAAATGACTGGTATGAGATGAATGATCCGATGCGTCGTTGTTTGTAGACTCCTGTATTATTCACAATCAGGTTGGACAGGGTTAGATCTCCAGTCTCTTTGTCCAAATGAAGCCTGCTCTGAAATAGATCTGAGCGCGGGACTTGAACTTCAGAAGAACTGACTTTGGCGATCATAATGGTTTGGTCAGTTGTTCCAAAAGTCCATAAAATCTGTTCATCTGGATTCAAAGGTTTTCTCCATTTTAATGTCACTGTGGCTCCAGCTTTAGCATTGACCACTTCCACTTTACCATTCTCCCACGCACAACAGCACAGAACTGAAACAGAGGAACACCAAGGTTAGATACACATGGTTAATTATTTCTCTACATGTGTCCAATGCAATGCTCTTTTGGAGTATTCTAAGAAGAGGAGATTCAACATGTTGAGAGTTCATTAGTATTAAAATAAGATACTGACAAGTTAGAGAGATTTAAATACATATTTCTCCTTGTGCCTTTTGAAAATCAGGTACCCCAGATTTGATTTACTGACCTGAAGGAGAACATTTTCTGAAAATAAAATATAAGTTCAAACATGTTACTCAATTTGTTAATTAGTTTGTCCTAGTTTGCACTGGGCACAGTTGTTTTTTTTTTTTCCATTTTAATTGTATATTTATTTGTAATGAATCGAGGAGAAGAAAGTAAATTAAAATATATATTTAAATTTAAAAAAATATATGTATAATGATAATATATTTTGTGGCATGTTGTTGACTTTCCACCACTTTCCTCTAAAACCCACTTCTGAAACAGGAAGTGGTCAAACAAGTGAGCAAAACATAACCCACCTGTAACATCTCTGCAGCACGTTTCAGAGAAGCAGAAATCAGAATCGTAACCTCATATGATTAAAATTAAAAATACTCAAAAATTCCTTATAACGTTACTTGTAATAAGTCTTCCTTTTTCATATGATATGATATTATATGATATGCTTTCAGGTACAGTATACATTAGAAATAAATAAATGTTGTTTCTTAATGTTTCTGGTAATGAATAGCGCAAAGAGACAAAATATTTCCCAATCATGAATCATTTGCTCTGGAGTGCTCCCTAAAGCACTTATCATCAAAATTAGATTACATTTTTTTTTTGTTTTTTTGTGATTGTTTTGGCCCTATTTAGATCCTGTAGCAACAGGAGGCATCCAGCAACCCCATTTACAATATTAAAATGTCTAAACTTTACAATAAACCTCAAAATAAATTAGTAAAACAAAATACACTGTAATAAAATAACTTACAAAGAGCCAAGCACAAAGAGCATTGTAGGTTCCATCTGATGTTTGAATCCATTTTGTGTGTTTTGAAAGTTACATTGTTCTGTCTGAAACTGAAATCTGAGGTGGAGGTGTGAAAGTACTCCTCTAGCGCTATCTAAAGGCTAGTACTTTCCATTACTTTCCATTTACATTTTTAAACATGGCATGTCTTCTTCTTTATATTAAGTGCAAACTGGAATAATAAACCTAAAAACTATTTTTGGAAGATATTTTTAATATATAATCTGCATGTGTCACTTAAAGTATTAAATGTAGGCAAATCTTTTTTGATAGGTGCAGTTGGTTGGAGTAGTAGTAGTAGCAGCAGCAGCAGCAGCAGCAGCTTTGTAGTATAGTCTTGCAGTAGTAGTTGTTGTAGTAGCAATAGTAGTAATAGCCTTGTAGTATAGCCTAATAGTAGAATTAGTGATTATTTGTAGTTGTAGTAATAGCAATAGAAATAGTTATGAAAGAAGTGTATGATAAGATTTGCAATACGTTTTGTTAAGATAGAAGAAGTTAATAGTGTGTGTTTTTGCAGTAGTAGTAGTAGTAGTAGTAGTAGTACAACAATGACAATTAAGTACTAGAAAAAATTACTTTTACTTCAGTACAATTGTGTCTCTGTAGTACTCCACCTCTGCTCCCAGGGCAATGCTGTGGTTTTGTTTTCCGTTTAGGTCTTTCATCATCTTCCCCATCAGACCTCCACTTCTCAGTCACTCTCTCCATCGTGTCACTTCACGTCCTGCTTATCAAAGAGGCAAGTAAATCTTATCCTTTTACATTTTGGGCTATTTAGAGAAAATACAGTTAGAAAAACACAATTATATTAACTTTGCGCAGAGTAACTTTTCTGGAAGGGTGTCTGCCATCATCTTGTCTTAATTGAGATGTTATTGATAGATATTCCACAGTATGGTATTATTGCCCATGTTCAGTGTAAACAAAAAGGTGACACCATTAAGCCAAGTTATAAGTCAGATCTGTGGAGAGGTGACTTTGCTAACAGTAAACAATATCATCTCTGTAAAGATAAGTATTTGGCAAAACCACTATCTGAAGTTAAATATAGCACCTCTAATGAAGTAGAAGTAATAAGATTGGAAGGATTTGAAGTTATCTAGTTATCTAAAGTTATCTGAAATTATCTAAAGTTAAGCACGTTTAAAAGTTACCAAAATGAATGAACTGAATGTCTCTAGAACAAGAATAGGAGACGCACATGTTGGTGGACTCAGCACGTGGTTTAGGTTACTTCCTTTTTGAAACACAGCCCCCACATGTTGAATAGTTGTACTCAGTGTAGTTTGTATTCACTCTCCCTTCCTGGTACTACCACATCTGTACCATATATTCACTGTCTTTACTGAACATGTCCAAAACCATCTCAATTTGAAAACTTTATTTTGTCTGTTAAATAACGCTGTATTTTGTTTTTTATAGCTTGATGATGGCTAGCCTTGCTGTGACCCTATTCATTTTACTCCAAGCTATTTCTACACTGGCTGCCAATGAGATTACATCACCTTCACCATCTAATATCACAAATTCAACCCTGGACACACTTCAAGAATCTAACAGCAACACAAACGATATTACAACTTCTAAAGCACCTAGTCAAGACATCTCCAGTAATTTGCTATCCAAAAATGAGTCTTCAACAACTTTCAGATCAGTTGACGACGTTACATTAACGACAGTTTCACCAATACAAGTGGACGATGAGGATATTTCAACTACAAGCAACATAACTGGGACTATGCATAATATTACTGATATCACGAGATATGGCACAACTTCAAATAACAAAATCAAGCAACAAACAATGGCTAATGAATCACTGATACACATCAATGTAACCAAAACTTGTCCAACACTGATAGAAGATAACAAGAATTTTACTTCAAGCTGTAGTGAAGCGAAAACCACCTCAAACAATCAAGAAAACAACACAAAAAATGACTCAGAAATTTCAAAAAACAAGGATAAAAAAACAAAACCGGCACCTTGGATTTTACCAACTCTTTTGAGCATTGTGGCACTGTGTTTGATCGCATTGTTCATTCATGCAAAATGGGAAGATTGGGGGAAAAACCAACCAAGGCGTAGTATTAAAGATGAAGTTTTGAATGGGATTTGTAGTTTTAGAGACTGTTTATGGGCTCAGATTTGTTTTTCTGGTTTGGAAAGACAACAACCTGATGAAGAATTGGGTGATACAACAGATGCGGAGGAGATTGGGGTAGAAGATAAAAGAGAAAATGGAATAGAAAGTGGTTTTGGTGGAAGAGAGGTGGGAGAGATTTGTAATGGTGCAGATAAACAAGAGGGAGGTTGTAATGTAACCTTTGAGGAAACTAAATTGTAATGCATTTTTCATAACAAATTTTTAATATTATTACATCAACAGATACAATTTATATACAAATAAAAATTTCTTATTCTATTTCTGTGTATTTTGTTATTTGCTCATGCCTGTAAAACTATCTAGAGCACAAAAGCCTTCATACATGACATAATAATAGCCTTAATAATAATAATAATAGCCAGTTAATCTTTCGTACCGGAGCATAAAATCGACACCCTCAAGGCATCATGATAAAGTCAGGAGCCAGAGGATGGAGGGGCTGAGCGAGGAGACACTTTGCTTTGCTCAACACCTGCTCCTCCCACAGAGAATGCAGATCCTCAGTTTGACCCCTGTGATTTTTGAGCAGGTTTTAACAATATTCTGTTGGTTTAATCAATGTTTTTACCCTTCAAGAACAGGGACTGAAACCAGCAAATTTTTTAAAAAAGTAAGCAGACTTTCGATAAAAGAACAATAAAAGTTGTTGAGAATCGTTTTCTTTACATTAAAAGTGTTCTGTTTTCTCAACAGGTACATTCTTTGCTTTATTGTTTTACCACTGCTACCAAAATGCAATACAGACAATAGACATACACAACTTACTTACTTACCTAGTTCTCATAATTATATTTAAGATTTTGCAAAGAATCTCACCTTGGTTTTGGACATGGTCAGCAGATATGACATACAGTTTATAGAACCAAATCCTGAGTCATCTAGGGATAAAATATCATCACAAAACAACTGGACAGCAGCAGGCTAACACTTATAGCCCCATCATTACATCTGGTGGGAGCTACAGTCACTCACACAAAGCCCTGAAGAAGTTATGAAGAAAGAAGTAGGGCCATTTGTTTTGATTAACTTGCTGATAATCTAGTTAGAGTTCATTCTATAACTGCTACTTTGCAACTACACTGTAAACAAGGACCAAAGCTTTTCTAATCTCATCATTATTTTTAGTGAATAAAAATAAATGACGCGATCTTTTTTTTAGTTAAACAATTACTTAAACTATTGGAATTTTGAGTATAGATGACATGGATATACAAATTCCCTTTTACAACGTACATTTTTCTTCTTTTTTCAAACTTTTCTTCACAAACTGACAACTGATATAAAAATTATTATACAACGCACCAAAGGTTCTGTCACATTTAATCATGAAATTATTAGGAAAACACGAATATGCAGGCCTACTTTAAAGAGGGGTTATTTTACTTCTATCTCTATTACTAACAGAGAGCATATTAGATCATCATGTTACCTTTTATTGTTTTGAAAATGCTATATTCACCAAAAACAAGTTAATACTGTATGTTGTTTTTGGCAAATATAGCTCTGAGTCTCTTGTCCCTTTATTCTCCGCACTAAGTCACTCCCCCATCAAAGCGCCATCACAACACAAGCAATGTGCATCCTGCTAATGACTTGCATATTGCATCAGGTTTGTGAAGTTGTGCAGAGTTTTGTATCATAAGGTGGATTTTTGATGAGGGAACACTGTTATAACATGGTAGAAAGTTTAAAAGAAATGTTGTTAGCATAATGTGTGGCCAAGTGTTCTGGGTTCGACTCCCAGCTTCAACAATTTGCTGAATTGCTCTTCACCCCCATTTCACACTATGCTGCCCTGTTCAATAAAGTTTACGGGTTACACCATCCTTAAAACAATAAAAAATTTAATTTATCAAAATACAAAAATACAAAAGAGTGTTCTTGGATATAACTGTTATGTTAACTATTTGCCTTCAGAGTTATCAGCGTTGGGGAGCATTACGGTGTTCATCCTATGGTCCTGGAAAAATAACAGAAGAAATGTCAATGCATACTTCAAAAAGTACCATAAGGCATTGCATATGGCAGGATCATTAATGTTTCACACCTAAGAAATTAAAGAACTGTACCAGATTTTTTTATCACATATTTCAGACAAAAAACTGTCTGCGTGTTGTCTCCATTTGATAAGAAAGCATGTTATTGTCTAGTAATAAGAAAGTGCTAGTTGTTGTTACAATCACAGCAAAACTTGTCTTTGAGAGTTGTGAAAAGTGTTCATAAATTCAACAGTGAATAATTAGGATGCTCATAATGCATAAGGTAAGTGAGGAATAACTTGACCAATGTTCAAAATGAACTACTTTGATTTTTCATATTTTTAAGACAACAGTACAATATTACAATGTATTGAAGGTAAAAGATGCAGTATGTACCTTTTCAGGCAGGGATCCACCACTTACTTGTTTCCTTGGAGATTTTATTGCCTTGCTTGAAATGCTTCACACTGTGGCATTAATCTTATCTAACTAGCTTTAATTTCATGACTTTGTTTGTTTGTTTTTGCGCAAATTTACCTTAAAATCATAATTCTTACTGTGATCATGGTTCCCTCTCCACAGATTGGATTTGGACTTGGCCTGGTGGCAAAACCTGCTTCTATCCATGTGTTACGGCCACAGGCCTCCAGATCCTTCTATGGCCATATCTGCTTAGATCCCTGTGTGTGCAAGCCTCCATATACAGACCCCTGCTGTGGTGCTGTGATTGGAGGAATCAATTTAAGATGGCATCTGGAGCCCCTCCCGCTGATTGGTGGAAGCCGAAACACCTGGCCAATCCCGGGCCTACACCTGGAGCTCTGGCCCTATAAAAGGACCCGCCCCTTGCCACTCATGGCAGCTGTTCTGTTTGTGGACTTGCATGCCACCTTTGTGTCTCTTGTGGTGTGTTTTCTCGAGATACTAGAGTCCTGGTGACTTAGACTGTTTTTTTTTGTTTTTTCTGTTTCATTTAGTGTACCCTGTTTGGTTAGCCTACTTTTCCTTATACTGTTAGCCACTCTGTTTAGAGCCTCTTTTTGTTAATTCTTGTAAAAATCATTGTTTTGTTAGTTTTACCTTACAATTCTGTTAAATAAATCACAACTTTAGTTTTACCATTTTACAATCTTGGTTATTTTGTTACTTCCCCCTGTCCCTAGCAGAGCTGGGTCATAACACCGTGAATATATGTTTATTTAATGCCATATTGTGGAACATTCCAGACAAAGCAATAATATCCACCATGTTCTACTATAAGTTACACAATGCGCCTTTAAGTTGTGTGCATTTTTTACCTGAGTAGTCTGTGGTGGGGTTTCCAAGTAAATACAATCCCCTGAAATATAATAAAGGGCAGTTAGAGAAGAGGAAGAGCCAAAGGTGTCCCTCCTCTGTGTCCTGCAGCACCACAGCAGTGTACAGGGGGGAACCGGGTAAACGCAACAGGAAAGGCCATGTTCTTCATGTTCTCTGGTGTTTCGATTGGTGACAAAATGGTCCATTCCCTCGTGTTGTCTTGTGTTTCCTTCTGCAAGATCGTCTGCCACATCTGCTGGCACATATGGTGTAAAAAGCCTGTTGCATCTCAAATGTCTATGGCTACCACCTTAGCTCGCTTCTTGCACAGTCTCCATGAGTACGAGAAAAACAAACAGCTCATTTCACAAAACCCAACAGTTCCTTACTTGTGTACTTTGAACTGCAAATGCTGTACTTCTTAGTTGGGTAAAATCCAATGATATGATGTTAAAAACCGAGTTAAAAAAACAAAAACTTCAAAACTTCAAAAAACAAAACTGCTCAGTGTGTGAGCCAGGTAGCCACAAAAGCACAAAAGCAGTGTGTTAAAACTGCATTATGCATGGCTCCAAGTTGTATACTGTAATGTGGTTTGCTTATACCACAACTACAAACTGAAATGTCTCACTTGTGAATGTGAAAAACCTGTCCCCTGTCTGTAAATGTCCAAAAATAAGAATAGAAAAGCATACTATATGACATATGATACTTTATGTGCAGTGTGTCGACTTACCTCTGGGACTTGGTGTGTGGTATAAAAATCTCTTTCTGTAGGAGACTACCCCATACAAACATACTGCACATATCAGACCTACACTGACTCCGACTCCAATAGACCGTGACAAATCTAAAAAGAAAGAAGATAATCTTATAAAGATATTATATAAATACTGTCTAGCATAAAAAGTTATACTTGTGTTTACTAGTTATTAATAATTTGATGGGATAGCATCTGTGGTAAATATTATAGCTTTCCATTAGTCGACTTTAGTGTCTAGTATAGAGGAAAAGGTTAAAAGAATGATGAAAGACACAGGAAGTATCACGGAGTTCATCATCAGTACAAAAATTCTTTTCAAAATGCATGTATTTTACTGTGGACTGTGCAGTGATCAGATTTATATGTGTAGCACACTGAATAGAGTTCTACACATTTATCAGTCTGGAACAGCTCTTGCTAAAAGCAGTTAGGAAAAGGCGTAGCATCATAACAACTATTCCAATCTGATTATTCAAACCACCACAACAGCGGAACAAGGAAAAAAGTCAAACTTTTGTTATATCTAAAAGTACTGACATCTTCCCCATCAGTGTGGTCATGTTTGTTTTGATTCACTTGTGCGCTTCGCTGTTGATTTCCGCCCACACAACAATGTTGCTCTGTGGTTGATCTACCAACCAGTGACAAGATGGAAGATTGCTGCATAAGGTTAAATTCATATGTGAAAATTATGTAGAGAAATTAAACAAATAAATATATAAATGTAAATATTGATAGACGGTGCCTTTGTCTTAAGGCATATCATGTAACATATGCTTATTACTTAGTCAATGTGTACTATATAACTTTTTACCCTTTTCCTTTTTCTGTGGACATGAGTATGATGTGTTAAAGATGATGGTCTGATTGGAGATGGGGTTTTCAGCCTGACAGCTGTAGATGACCTCCTCTTTAGTCTGGGGGACATTCAGAGGCAGGACCAGCCTGGAGGACAGGTCTGAGTCACTGGTTTGGTTCAACATCTTGTCTCTTCTGTACCACTTCAGAACCACATTCTCTGAATTCTGCACAGAGCAGTTCACTCTGCAGCTCCAGGGCTCCTTAGAATCAAAGCTGTTCTGCTCAAACGAGACGTGAGGGGCTGACACAGGACCTGCAACAGGATTTGTTACTATATCACAGTATCACTGTATACAAATATTGTGCAAAGGTTATTGCTCCAAACAGGTGTCACTGAGATGAAAATTTAAATTTTTTAGCACACCAAATAGGTCATACACATATACTAGATACTATATTATACTCAAATAATAGATGAGTACCATGTCAGATTTCTTAAACTCAAACAGAACAGATGATCTAATTGAGATTAATTTGGCCTTCAAACTTATTAACAAGGCATTGTTTTCTTTCAAATGTAATCTTCTTTATCCAGTTTATCCACACTCCTACCTGCAGACCCTAAGCCAAGCCTCTACCACTCTACTTGAGGTAAAGATCCTCAGCTCCACCAGCACCAACGAAAAAACAAAAATCATACTACCCCGGTAGATAAACCATATTATTTTTTTCTGAAACTTTTATTTTAAAGGGACAATTTATTTTGGGATACTTTTTGGGATTTGAACAAAGGACTGATTTATATAGGGATTATTTTTTATTTTATTTTATTTTTTGAGGTATTAACTCTGTTCTATTAATACCGGCTTTGTTCACTTTTCTTATTTCAAACTGTGGTCACCCTCTCCTCCTTTAAAATCTAGGTCAGACCTGGGCATTGTACAGCTCCCGGGACACATACGGCCCTTTGGTTGACTAATGTGGAATTACAAAATAAAAATTGTATGATTTTACCTCATGCACTGACTAAAGCTGCATTGTTTTTAGTTTAGAGGTGTTTAAATGACATTTTTTGAAAGGCAACTTTTTATGTAACTCACTTTTTCATTGCTTAGTCGTCATAACATACACTTTTACCAGCCTTTACTGCCATCCTTTTTTATAAATAAATACAATTAGTATTATGTAGAACTGAGTTAAGCATTTTCACCTGGGCCTCCACAATATTTTCTGTTTCTCATATGGCCCCATAGGAAAAATAAGTTTTCTAGTTCACTTTGTACAGGTTACATTGTCCAGAATAGACACTCCTTCTCAGATATAAGGGATAATGGAATATACAACTCTACTCCTGCAAACACTTAAGAAGCCCTGATATCTTTGGAAGGCCTTTGATAGTGCCCATATTTGTTTTACAAGAAATTTGGTTTTGGTGAGAATCTTTTTTCCTGGATTCATTTTCTGTTCAGATCCAGATGCCTTATTTAAGATAAACAATATTCAATCTGAATACTTTCAACTCAGTTGTTCAATGTGACAGGGGTGCAGCAGTAGGTAACGTAATAATGGACAATAATGTACTAAAGTATCACTCAAGTTATTTAATTTTAACCTGTTTGTTTATCGCAAAGCGTGTCTTTAATGATGTCCTTCTTTTGTATGTTACAGATTGGAGCTGCTCTGTTGCAGTAGATATTAACTCACTAAATGATACTGGTTAATTATCAGGTTAAGTTGAATCTAAAAATTGTTATCTTTCCCTCAAAACTCATTTCAGTTTGCTCCTAATGATTTTACCCTGTGACTCAGAAATTTAACAACTTATTGGAGCATTTTAAAGAAGATGATAACTGTTGAGTGTTGAGTGGTGCTTGGCCTCTCCTTTGCTGTCTAAATGAACATTTTCCCTCATTTATTTGCACTCAATTTCAATATTTGTTAAAAAAAAAAAAAAAAAAACTGACATGGTTTCAGGTACTCACTGTAAACTTGCACCTCATATTCCATCATGCTGTGTAAATCTTCATTGTACATCAGTCGGACACAGTAAAATCCAGAGTGGCATTTAAGGATGTTGATGATGGTGATTGCTCCGGTTTGAGGGTCCAGCAGCAAATGCTCCTGCAGCCCTGGGTCATATGTGATGATGTTGTTCTCCCAGCTTACAATCAGTTTTCCACTGAAATTATTCTTAGTCCAGAAGATATCATATTCAGGTTCAAGATGCGTCATTCCGGTTGGCAACGTTATATTAGTGCCCTCTAGAGCTTGGATGAGGACAGTGTTTCCTGGAAGAGCAAATACAACACACACATTTATAGTTCAGTGCTGCTGTGGCAACCTGTCAGGAGCAGCTTCCCAAATTATTTTATTGTTATTTTGGCAAGAGACCTTTGGCAATTTCTCAAGACGCAGGCAACTACGCCCCTCACTTATCAGAGGGCTTATGAGAAATTCCCAGGCCACAGAGAGACATAGTCCCCCAGTCTGTTCTGGGTCTTTTTCAGGACCTTTGTGTGGATATGCCCAGATCACCTCTCAAGGAGGCGTCTCTGTCAGGGAATAAGGGTACTACTGTCCCTGACCCCCACGCATTGTTAGAGAGAAGAGCCAAGTACAAATTATATTTTATGGTTTGCTATTATTTTTGTTTCTTTATTAGCAATGTTGGGTTTATTATTGTGCAACTCTTTAGAAAGTGTTTATGAAAAGTGCTATACAAATAAATCGGACTGCATTGGAATTGGAATGATAATAACATTTGAATTTCATTTCTTTTGTTTGTTTTTGCAGAGAAGACCCCAAGGGGTTCTGAAAATTATTTATTGGACGGGTAAGAGACTGAAACCCAGTCACCACTGTGCTCCCATATTACAGTAATTCATTTATTCACTATAATGTTGTCGAAAGTTTACATTCATGACAACTGGATTAAAGCTTTACGTACCAGTGACCACAAGATTGAACTGCATCTCCAATGTCCTGTTATGAGTCAGGATCTGGATCAGAAATGCTCCAGAGTCTTTAATGGTCAGATTCTGGACTGTCAGGTTACCAGTGCTAATGTCTAAATCAAGCCTTGTGCCAAAGCGAGTCCCGTTCACCACTGTCTGGATGTTATCAGTGACTACAGCGATCACTTTGGTTGGGTTCTTTGGTCCATAAGACCAGACGTAGGTCTTTAGTGTGTTGGGCTTGTTCACGGGTAAAATCACTGTCTCTCCTTCTCTTTTAGTAATATGTTCAGAATGCACCACCAGCACTGGAAGACAAACACAAGAAGTGGTAGCAGATAAAAGTAATAAAGTGTATTATGTATAGTATAGTATACTATACTATAGTATACTACTATATTAAGTACTTATATGATGCAGAGGGACTGCTGGGACATAAAAGTATGTAATGCAGGAATTGCTGAATTTACCACAAAGTCCTGTCTCAGTAAAATCCCATAATCACCCAGGCATGTTCCATATTAACAAACCAACAAGAGACACTGTGGGAATTTAGGCAAGTGTGCAAACTAATTCCCCTCTTCTGAATATGAGAAGTACATTTCCTTTGGTCCCGGTAATTTTCAAGAAAACTCCTGCACACTGTCTCATTTCTGTTTTTTTGTTTGTTTGTTTTGTTTTTGGTTTTGATACAACATTTTGGTCCCTCAGACCTTCCTTAGGTTAAGGTTAGGGTTTTGGTCCCAGTCACAAAAAAGGCTACAGCTAAACAAAAATACAACCACCAAAAATATTCTTTAATAGTATAATTAGTCAAGCAGAAGTAAGAAGTATTATGAGTTAAATAGGTTAAAATTAGCAATAATAGTGTTCAAATGTAATGAATTATATCAATTATATACTGAGCATTTATATTACCTGTGAGGAAGATTAAGACCAGTATGTTCCTGTTTTGAGGATTATAACAGATCAGCCCCATTTTTCAGAAAAGCTAGAAAATGACAAAAGTGAAAGAAATTAATGAAAACTCACTGTAAGCATATTCTTCTTCTTCTTATTATTATTATTATCATTATTATTATTATTAGTAGTAGTAGTACTAGTAGTAGTAGTAGTAGTACTAGTAGTAGTAGTAGTAGTAGTAGTAGTAGTATAAGCCTATTCTATTATACCCTTGAGAGGCAGAAGACACAGAGGCACAGCATGTTCTCTTGTTGTTAAGCTCTCTACATCTCTTAACACCAGCCAACCACCACATCATGAGTTTTTTTATTTGTGGGTTTTTTCATGCATCATATGACCAGAAGCTTCACAGTTCTCTTTATGTTGAATGGTTAGAATAATGGTTAAAGCCTAAAAATCACATTTTCACATTAAGGAAATATCAATCTACCTATTTAAAAAAAAATCACTCAGTAAGAAAACACCTCACTGACTGACTGATTATTAATTTCTGCTAAAATACTCAGACAGCACCAAATATACAGTTCATGCTATCATACATAAGCCTACATAAATAATGCGTAATGCGTATTTAATAGCATTTTAAGTAGCATATATAAGACACTTACATTGAGCTGTTGTTGCGTAGTGGTGTTTGAGGTTTAACTAAGAAACAAGGAAGTCAAATGGGGGTGGGACTAGAACAGGATAAAATCACATACTGTATATTAGGGAAAATAAACAGGATTCATCCTTTAAAAAAATAATTTTATGCATTATTACTGGCCTTTATATATGCTCTATATAATAATATATAATATGTATTGTTCACTAAGATTATCACTAAAATAACAGACACACTTATTTTTAATGACATTTTAACATTTAAAAGATATATATATTGTTTTCACCTTGACAGATTTTGCATTTAATATAAGACAGTGCAATTATTCCTCAAAATGAGGAAGATAGTATTCCCACTTATATATGAGCAGATGGGGCATAATCATTTCTAAAAGAATGTTCTTCACAATTGTCCCAATAGCAACTAGAGGTCTTTGGATGTTTCTCAGACTTGAATTGTAGCAGCTAGAGGACTTTGAATGTTCTTTCAAATTGTACCAAAAGCAGCTCAAGGACCCTAGACATTTTCCATATTTCTCTCTATTGCTTTTAGAGGTTTTTGGATGTTCCTCAGATTTGTTTCTCTAGCAGCTAGAGGATCTAAGATGTTCTTTAGATTTGTCCCAGTAGAAGGTTGAGTGTCTTGGATGTTCCTCAGACTTGTCTTATGCAACTACATGATCTTGGATATTCTTCAGACATGTCCCTATAGCAGCTCAATTACGTTTGCTTGTCAATAATTGAGGGTAGTTTAGAAGGGGTGGAGCTACTGGTGAACATTATCAGTGTCCTCACCTTTCTCCACCAGGTCAGTACGAGGAACAAAAGTTTTAATTTTTAGGGACAATTACTTAGTTCCAGGACTTGACAGAGCCATTACTTTCATGCAACATATCTTGAATGTCTCTTGAAATGGATATAAACCAATTCATAAAGTTGACCTAGCCATAACACATTTATTATATGTCAAGGCATATATATAAATATTTGCTCATATACTGCCCTACATCATGGTACAATGTCCTATCCAACTGGTCACAATAGGGACCACCAACATGTTTTCCATCCTACACTCCTACAAGCCAAAATAAAGTGGAGTCATTTATTGTTACTCGGACCCTTAAGATGATGTGTGCCAAAAATCATAGTCTTGGGTTAAATTTAAATAACTTTTCTAACCTTTTATTTGAGACAATTCTAGGCATCATCTTCTCCTCAAGGTGTAACTTTTACACAACCATCTGTGGTCATGTGACCATTTACAGTAAACATGTGATATTGCACACATTTCATCACACCATTTCTTTCTTTCAAGAAATAAAAAAAAATGCACTGAAAACATACTCAGTAACAGAATTTTCGTGGTCGCAATTGTTTAGTCGTGGTCTAGTTCTTGTTTAATCCTGGTTTAGTTCTTGTCGTGGATACTGTTTTTTGCCCTTTGTGATTATATTGTTATGTGCAAAAAAACAACAACAACAAAAAAAAAAACATTTTAGATGATCAACTGTCAAAAAACATAATAAAAAACATTTTTATGGACTGTAAGAAACAAAATGTATTGGAAATTATTACATTTTATGGTATTTTACTGCTAATATTATAATGTAATTGTAATGAAATGTAATTTTTATTGTGTTCACCTGTCTAGGGACAACTGATGGAAAGTGGCTGAGCAAACCATCTTTTCTTTTGTAGATTAATGCATTTGTACATGTCAACTGAGAAATAAAGAATAAACTAAATTAAACTAATTTCCCTTATGGCTCAATGAAGTTTCCATCCACCAGGCTGTTCCCTTTCCACACGCTATTCCTCTTCAGAATTCAGTAAAGTTTGTCTAGGTCCAAATTTGTGTGTGTGTGTGTGTGTATTTGTTTTTTCATTATTATTCAAAAGTAACAGATTATCTCCCATTTCAGTGTTAACAAGAGTTTGATGACACAGGCAAGTTTACATGTACACTTAAAATCTGATTATTTTCAGATTTTTGGTGTTACAGAAATGCGATGTAAAGTGCAAAATCATGATCTGGTTTCTTTTTGATCTGGTCTCTATGTTTACTCACATCATCATATTGCGTTGTTTACATGCCATTTAATTAATCTTAAAGGTTCAGAAATCAGACTTTTTTTAAAAATACACTATTTAACTATGTAGGCTGTTTGACTCAATCATTTCTATATAAATATTGCATTGCCTTGAATGATCCACAGTTCGTTAATCTTGCATTTGTCCCATTACATTTGTTTTTATTTTTCAAAAATACCTTGAAAAACATTCATTCTTATTGTAAGTGTGGTTGCGACTCTGCAACTTAATAATACATTAGTCTTGTAAAGCAATTTTGAGTGTCTGGAAAAGTGCTATACATTTTTGTGCCTCATTTATTCACTCTACACTTAGTGGTGGACAGTTACTATTTTAATCACAGCTGTCCTGGGACAGACTGACGGAAGTGAGGCTGTCAGTCTGCACCATCAACCTTTTCGACCAACCGCCACCATTCACTCAAAACTTTTATACTAGGGAATGTGGGTGATGTTTCGCACAAAAAAATTTTTTTGCCACTTGCGCCCCACTGTTGCAAACAGTATTCCCAGGGGTCTCCCATCAAGTACTAACCAGGCCTGGCCCTGCTTAGCTTCTGAGATCTGACGAGATCAGGCTTTGACAAGGACGTAGATCAGTGTAATGTCATACTGTGGAGAATTCCAGGGAAAACAGTAAGATCTGCATGAAGACAAGCAGGTGAAGTACTCTCCACCAGAAATGTTACGTAGCGCACCTCTAAATGAATAAAACAACAGAGACGCACACATTTTTACGCTCCTCCCAAACTTTATTGAGGTGAAAATATTCTTACGGACATACAGTTAAAACTCAATGTTACTGTAAAAGGACTATATTTATAAGTGTAGCATTAAGTTCAATCTGAGCAGGACACACAAACATTATCCTCCAACTGACAGTGCTCAAATTACCCATATACAATAAATATCTCATTTAACATGGTAAAACCCATCACTTTAAAGTAATAGTCTCACAACTGTGGCAGATACCAGAGAAAATATACACACAGTGGTTCTCAATAGTGGTGCGGGGGTCTCTGTTGGCAATCAGGAGAAAAGCAGTTCAGACTGAATTTATATGAAGCCGATTTTAATGCAGTTTATCACCAGTGGTTGTTCTGGTTTAGTCCTGGTTTAGTCCTGGTTTAGTCCTGGTTTAGTCCTGGTTTAGTCCTGGTTTAGTCCTGGTTTAGTCCTGGTTTAGTCCTGGTTTAGTCCTGGTTTAGTCCTGGTTTTCGTGGGGGTGGTTTGCTATAGATTTCATTCATTTATACTGAACTGAAGTGAAGGGAGCCTCAGTTAGCTACTTACAACTTATACATGGTTTCAGGGTTACCATCTGCCATTGTTTTATACCTGTTTTGACCCCAGATTTTTAGAGATAAACACTGCACCAAGTTTACCCACTCAACATGAAGATTTTAAGAACCACTGCTGTATCTGAATCTAAAGCTCTTTGTTCAGCTGCATATGCTCGTAGATTGCTTAGTGTGGACGTTTTGCAGAGAGGTCTCTCTGATATCACTCAAGTCGGGTTTATCGGTACAGGTAATCAGCCTGGATGTTGGCGGCAATCTCTGGCTCCCACTTGTCTCCATTGTTGAGGAGTTTCTCTTTGTTGTATAGCAGCTCTTCATGTGTTTCGGTCGAGAATTCAAAGTTAGGACCCTAAAGGTATTATAAAGAATTTTATATTTTGCTAGTACATTATTCACATCACAACGTTGGTATTTCACATTTTAAAACTTTAAACGTAAAATAATATATCAGCTTTGATGAGGAAATCACATTAATATATAGTTACAAACTAAAATGTCAAGTTAGCAACATAAATAAAACAAAAACTAAGTAACGTTATGGTAAATGTGTGTGTGTGTGTGTGTGTGTGTGTGTGTGTGTGTGTGTGTGTGTGTGTGTGTGTGTGTGTGTGTGTGTGTGTGTGTGTGTGTGTGAGTGTGTGTGTGTGTGTGCGTGTGTGTGTGTGTGTGAGAGAGTGTGTGTGTGTTGTGAGTGTATATATATGTGTGTGTATTTTGTCTTTTTGTAGTTTTATGAGGAGGTTCATGAAGTGTTCCTCTTCACACTTTGTTTTAAATTATTTTAACAGTTTCATACATTTTGAAGAAAAACTACTTAATAAAGGAACTGTATATAAAGCAAAAGTATTCTTCATAATCAGTTTGTCCAAATGCCGTGTGTACATGCGAGAGTTACCTCTACAATGGCGTCGACAGGACAGGCTTCTTGGCAGAATCCACAGTAAATACATTTGGTCATGTCAATGTCGTAACGAGTGGTCCTCCTGCTGCCATCTGCTCGGGTCTCAGCCTCAATAGTGATGGCCTGAAAATAACCATAACAAAACCATAACAGTCTTTACCAACTCAATAAAACACTACAGGATGGTTAAAAGCGTACAAAAAGAAGATGATATTTTTTTATTTATAGAAGATTTGGTTTCCAATACCTGGGCAGGACAAATGGCTTCACACAGTTTGCAGGCAATGCAGCGTTCTTCTCCCGAGGGATACCTGAAATTATCGTTTGCATAAATTTTAATTCTGCACATATTTTAGGTTTGTACATGTACTTTTTTAGACTTTTAAAAAGGCGTGCATATTATAGTAAACAAATCCCTAAATTATACATTTTACAGTAGTCTGTTACAGGCACACAAGCTTTACAAGTTCACAAGCTTTCCCACACAAAATCTTTTGAAAAGTTGCCCAATTTAACCTATTAAAGATAAACAAACACAGTCAGGCACCATCTAGTGACCAAATAATATATTGCAACCTGCCATTATCAATGAAGTACTTGTAAAGCAGGTGCCAACTTTTACTATGAGCAACAAACTACAACTACTACAACAGCAACAAAGCACATATGAAATAAACTGTAGTTCATTGTAAATGCATAAACAGAACAAGAAATTGAGCATGACAATATTTCATCCTAATAAGCTTAGAAGTAAAAATCTAAATTTACACAATTGAAAGTAAGCAAAATAATTTTTGTCAACCCCTTATTGTATGGTTCACCGTTTTAGAATTTTATGAGATTGAAATAATTGTTTTTAAATGCATGAGCCCTTATGCAAAATCAACTTCAGAGCTTTTCTAAATAAATGCTTCTGTTAATGGCTATGGCTTTCACCTCCTCAGAGCGTGCTCCCCTCTGAACCTTGGCGATAGAGGCCCCTTCTCAAATGGATAGTTGATGGTTGCTGGTTCCCTGAACAAGTAGCTCATGGTCATCCCCAGACCTGAAATTCAACACAGACAATAAAGACATTCAGGCTTGAAGGAAACTACACAGAAATAACTGAATTGTTATAAAGAAATTAGTCTTTTACATCACTTTTCTAAACTATAAGTTGCTCAAAAAATGTATTACAACATTCTTTATTCACACTCCATGACTATTGTGTGCCATTTTGTGCATACATTTGTTAAGAACCAAAAACAAGTTATTGTTTTGGTTCTTAACAAAGGAGCTACTGTTGCCCCATTATGTTATTTTGATTCTTCTGCACAAACATTTAGGCAGGTGTCATCTCAATAAAAGGTGAGATATGGACAGTAATAGTTGCGGTTTTGGAGATATGAAAAACTCATCTCTATTCAATATGACTAAAACAAGAGTATGTGTTACATTTCTGCATTTTTGTGAAAAATTTTACATTTACTTTTGTTTATTTGTTTCTTTATCAGGGATAATGCACACAAAACACCAATCTAGTTAAAAAAGGTAATATTATAAAACTACTGTCTCAATAACATTATAGATAATGCATGCTTCAGTAGCATGTTGGTGTAGATTATTTTTTTTTTATTAAACAGACAAGCTAGGAGGAAGACAGGAGCTCATAAAGTGAATACTTTTCTCACCTCTGAAAAGCTCTGTCCACAGCAGCGTCTGCGCAGCTCTGTCTGTGATGGACTTCATGTCTGTGGGCAGCTCCTGGGCATTCACATACTCTGCACAGAAATAAAAGGGTCATCATGTCTGGAGTTCAGGGTTTACACTAAAGACTGTGCTCTAGTAGAGAATACTTACTGAAGCCCTCTCTTGGTGCAGACACACTGAACGGCCTCACCAAACTCCTACTTGCTGCAAATGTGCCTGTAAGAGAAATATTAAAGACATTATTCTTGATGTAAGCATTAACCATTCATCAGTGTTCATCAGTGTAATTATTAGTCTGGGAGGATACATATATTTGATATGCCAAAAGTAAATGTTACAATTTCTTGTCAGTACTTAACTACTTGACGACTACTGCTCCTTTACCTACAACACTACCCTAATAATTTTACAAGTTATATACAGTTCTATATATGCTGCATTGAAACAGTTACCTCTCATAATATTTTTATAGGTTTAATCAACTTAAAGGACAATCGTTTAAAGAATGACAAATGTTTAGTTGAGCATGACAATACCTGGTCTTGAAGCACAGTAAATCAAACGCAACGTCGAAGCCATCCCGTGCTGAAAATAAGGAAAATATATGAATAGTACTGTCTATAACTAAAAGAAATCTAAGTCTAATTATGACATCAGTGCGCATACGCTTTCTATACATATCATTATATATCACTGTAACACTACAAACAACATTAGCAACTACACATGAGAGCAACTAAACTGCAAATTTAGCACATTCTATTAGTTTTAAATGGGGTGAAAACATTTACAATACAACTCATTTATAAAGAATACTGACATTTTATTGACACTGTAAATAGAAGTGCACCCATGTTTCTAATGTCAAATGTTTACTGGCTAACCTGATCGCATAAAAAGAGATTACCCAAAGCGCATTAGACAGATATATATATATATACAATCTATACCTGGATTAAAACAAGCAAATGCATGCGTCTATGGGTCTTACAGTGATCAGTGTCGCAGATCCACGAAGGAGTCCGTATAATTGAACTTGTACAGGGCTAATGTGTGGCTAGGCTAACACCGGGTGAGCATACCGTCAAGGACTTTTTTTACGAAAAGGTCGCATGAGGTGAATGCATGGCAAATTCTGCTTTTTAGCGACACAGATAACATTATATAGGCGTATCATTGCATACCTAATTAAAAAGTGTGCGTCGTAGAGTCTATGTGCTGAATTTAAATAAAACTTACCCAAAATATCGCTATTTGGCCTTCTTAACCAGAACAGCGGACTCTGCGTGCACAGGAAGTGAACGCGTGCTGACGTCGTTGACTCGCACGTACATATAATTTCAGTGGTAGAGATTTCGCACATCGTTAAAAGATGATCTTTGGTTATCTCTATTAAAATAATTTAACCCTATCAGAACATTGAACATACTCAACAGATTTTGTAGCAACAACAACAGTCTGAAAACACAACCACATCCGTTACGTGGACGACCAAAACGAATTTATTATTTTGTAGAAGACGCTGCACATTTGAGTTAAATGACGTGTGGAAATTTAATTAAAGCGAGTTTGACATCATAATTAATCCCCCATGCAGAACGTAAACACACAGAGTGCATCACCACAGGGAGTGCTGAGGAGAAGATAAGATATATATTTTATAAGTTAGTCAATTATATATATATATATATATATATATATATATATATATATATATATATATATATATATATATATATATATATATATATATATATATATATATATATATATATATATATATATATATATATATATATATAATATGTGTTTAATGTAGTTGTTATTGGTAATTGTGTCTACCCAGTGAATGTGAACGGGTCTTCTGATCTCGCGGAGTTCCCGTGGTCCGATGCGGAGAAGTGGCTGCTGGTGTCGATTCTGAGTCTGGAGATGGTGATGGGAGTTTCAGGGAACTGTCTTGTCCTCTTGGTCAAAGCTAAGGTCAGCAGCTAGACTTGTAGTCAGTAGGCTATATTTAACATTTCTTTGGATATAGCCCTGTAGATATTTTTCATTTTCAGTTTTCCATTTTGTTTCCAGTGCAGAGGGAACTTCAAAAATCGCTGCTGGGTTCCCCTCATGAATCTCACATTCTCAGATCTAGGTAAGATAATGTTATACAATTTTAAAGGGACAGTATGTAACTTCACAGATGGAGGGCTTCTGTCTCTGTGGAGATGTTATTGCTTTGCGAAGAATTTCCACCAGACCAAGTCACAGGTCAGGTCTGTGGAGAGGTAATGCATGTGTCTTTTTTTAAATTGCTATTGAGTCAATACAGGTTAGAAATGTATTGCCAATTTGTGGAACATTCCAGGCAAAACAATATCATCTGATTTTTCATCTTGTGAAGCTTCAAACAGTCAGATTCAAATATTCACCATGATGTTCCAGACTGATAAATGTTTAGAACTCATTTAACATTAACATATATCAGTCTGGCAAGAACCAGTTAATAAAATTAGATATTTTGTTTCTTTATCAACATTTAATTACACATTACTAGCAATGCAGTTTGAGTACCTACTTTATAGATTGTAATATTATTTATTGTACCATTCAGCAGGCCATTAGAGGTAAGTCATAAATCATTAGAGGTTTTGGGGCAACAGTGGTGCAGTGGATTTTGCATTTGTCCATCAAGGGAGGTATTCAGACACTTCAACCAGAACCAGTGCAGTGTCATAAAAAATAATGAGTATTTATTTTCCAGGTTGTTCTGCGCTGATAATCTCTGGGTCTCTCTTGGCCATGCTCACAGGGGGTCAAAATTCATCATGGTGCGAAGCTGTCAGTTTGCTCAAGTTTGCTTTTATCACATCCTCAATTGGCAACATCAGTGAGTCATTTATCTATCTATCCATCCATCTATCTATCCATCCATCTCTGTGATGTAATCTAGTGATACTGATGTTTAGTCAAAGCTTTTTTAATGGAAGTTGGGTTATTAAAGATGCAATATCACTATCAAGCCACAAGGGGCCGCAAGAGAGTTTGAAACTGCAATTCACGACATTCATTTTCAACCTATACCCAAAATTTACTCATTAAAAAAGGCACGTTGCATGACTTTATCATGCTGTATTAATGCTATTATTAAGTGCATGTTATACATTACTGTCTATTGGCATATGGTGTTGCTGGGTAATAAAGCCTTTTTAAAGAAATTCTTCAAACAGACTAAAGGCCATGTCTGACTAGAGGATGAGCTCATTTCTAAGACAGGGATAAATGAAGTGCAAATGCACTTTAAAGGCGTTTTTCTGTCAAAGAATACTTGAAGAATATGCAATTACAATAAATGTTTCTTCAGTGTTTTAGGGCTTTTTAAGTTCTCTGCATTGTCTCCTGTCTGCAGGTGTCCTCTCTGTGCAGCGCCTGATCACGTCTTCAGGAAAAGTGACAGTGTTTCTTGTATTCATTGCATGTTTGAGCTCATGGGTAACTGGAGCTGTGTTTGGGGCTGTGCCAGTCATCTTCTCCTGGATCAAGTACGGACAAAAACCTGAAAAACATATAAATAATTGAAGTATTTAACTTATTTAATATTCATAATAACTTTTATGATAATAATGCATCAATCAGTCTTTCTATTTTACATTCATACCATTATTGGTATGGGTGACACGTCTTACCCAAGGATGCACTGAAAATATGCCATAGCAAAGAATTAAACCACCAATATTAGGCCTGAATGAATTTTCCAAAACATCTAAGTGCAATTTTTATAACAATTATAATAATGTCTTACATTTCTATTGAGCTTTAGAAGGTTAAGACGGGGGTGTGGGGAATATCACAAAGCACTATGCTGTAGATATCACTCACTCCACACCTGGTGATGGTAAGATACTGCTGTAGCCACAGCTGCCATGAGACAGACTGACAGAAATGAGGCTGCCAATCTGCAACATTGGCCCCTTCAACCAATCAAACCGTCTCATGCACACACCACATTCATACAAGGCAAGGTGGGTGAAGTGTCTTGCCAAAGAACTCAGCAACAGAACTCAAGTCACAGTGGAAATTGAACCTGACCTTTGGGTTGGTGGATGAGTGCTCTAAAAATTGTCACTCCTGAGAACATCTGATTTTGTCTGTAGATATGACCCCGAAGAGATGCTGTGTGCTGTGTTCTGGGAGAGCAGTTACTCTGATATGTTGGTCTACATCCTCTGTGCCTTTTCCATCTGTGTCTTCTTCCCATTTGTCCTCATGGTCCTCTGCTCCATCACCAGTGCAGCCAGGTGTAACAGGTAAAAAAAAAAGGATCTCTCTTTTTTACCATTTTAAATGTCTTTACAGTTTTGATACATTTACTCTAAATTAGGTCGTGGTGGCAATAAGGATATAGGGGATAGGAAATCAAATTTTTGAAGAACAAACATTTACAATTTTATTGCCCATCCTTAGTCTGAGCCATTGTCTTTCCTAATATTTGTGTGCTACAGATAGACAGATATTCGATCTATAATTTTTTGTCAGTTTTGTCATTGCTTGCTATTTAATCGAACACATTTGTAACTTCTCTTTGCTGCAGAAATGAAGTGGACTTGTGTGATATCACTCCTATGTTGGTGGTGGCCTACACTCTCTGCTACACACCATTCGTTTTGTCTGAGGTATTTTATTAATGTTACTATAGTAGTATCTAGACGGTGCATGTACCATGGTTTTAGCAATATTATGTTTTTGCAGTATATAAAGTATATAATTACATATTGTAAATGTTATATCAAATTGTGAATATTTGTAAGCTCCTGCTAATACTTTTTATAGTCTTTTCAACTAGGACATGACTGATTGACTGATGACATATTATTTCTACAATATAGTATACTGTAAAATATTGACAATATCATAAGATTTGTATATTGTTAGAAGAATGGGCTACTTTACAAAGAAAGAAAGAAATGTAAAAATTAAAATAATAATAATAAATAATACCTCTAAGACTATATTTTTCCCCTAATAAGATCAGAACATTAACATTGCTCAACTTAACCCTCTGTGTCTGTTTTCCAGGTAATTCTTCTGGGCAGGCTGGACCTTTCTCCGTCTCCTGCTTGGCTGCGCACAGTGTCCTCAGTCATGTCATATCTGAACTGCAGTTTGAATCCACTTATTTACTTCTGTCATCAGGACTTCAGAGAGGCAGGACTGGCTCTGCTCTGGACCAAAAAACACATACTCATTGAACCTGTGCTCACTGCAATACAGAAACTGGACCTGTAAAATTGAAAAAGTGTAGATTTGTAGTCTTGGTAGGAAAATATGTCCTTTGCATTTGAACCATCCTGAGCTAGGGGTTGTTAACAAAGCGATACCCATAGCTTTACATTTAGAATGTTCTTAGTGTATCAGTACTAGTAGGCCTATAAAACCATGAGGCAATATTCAACAAACCTTTTATTTTGTGTTGGAAATTAATGTCAAAAATTGTTCTTCAAAATCATTAAGATATCAAAGTTTGTATTGAACCTTTGCTCAGCTTCGAGATAACAACACTACACTACAATAATAGGACGTGTATATTTGTATAAAATATAATGTTAAATCAGGTAAATTTCTGTCCAAGAAAATTAAACTTTTAATTTAAACAAATATTAACTGATGCTGTATTTGATGTGGCGTACTTGTTTTTGCGTTCAAATAAATTGAGGCATGTATAAAAATCTTGGAGCTATAATATCCTATCATTTATTTAACAACAGTCTCCCTCAGTCTTTTGCTTTGTGCGTAATTTGCGTCAGTGTTGTTAAAAAGCAAAAACTATAATGAAATTGCAATACATCGCAAACTTTGGACCAAAAATGTCCCGTCATCCGTTGGAAAATCCAAAACTGGGCGAGCCAATGATCCAGTAATTTTAGCACCACAAAACCGGCGCAGGACAGCATTGCAAGGACCAAGTAAGTAAATGTTTGGTGATTTCCAAGACGTAGCTGGACTTGTGTTCCTTTATAGATCGCAAGGAAGACATGGCACCCCAAAGCTGTTTCAAATCCCCACTCAAACTTGAGGGAAAGACCGTAGCTTAAAATAGAGCAAAGTTCCGCTACAAATGCGTACTTTTTGGTTGTTTTGTCTTGTATGAAGTTAATCCAAATGGGGACCCAAGCGAAAATAGGCAGAGTAAACCACTGGTCCAAAACAGCAGGAGCGCGCTGAAGTACAGCCAGGCGCCACCACTGAACAGGTGCGTAAAATATTGCCATTAAAGCAAAAACTTCCCTCGTGTATCTTTCATCTTTAGTTTCATTTTTATCCCTGTATTTCAGCAACCAGAAAAGTCCCATTAACATATAAGCAATGTTGATCAGAGAGTTGAAAGGCATGGCGATTAAAAATGGGAAGTAATCCACAACCTTTTCAGCATAGTGATCATACGTTAAATCCACTTTTACTCGGTCGAAAAGTGAGGTATTCGCCAATGTTATGCAAATTAAAAAGGGTACAATTACATGAAATAACGCTGATTTCATTGTTGGTGTTAAATATATAAAATAAATAATAAGAAATACATAAGTTTTTTTCCTCAATGTTTTTCCTGAGTCGAAAGAGTCAAAATTTGTTATTGTTCCGGGTTTGGAGTCACGTGATTTAATAAGGAGCGGCGTGATTCGCTACCACGGAAATTATCAAATTAAAATGAGAAAAAAAAAAGTTTGCTGACGTATTTGATTTGTTTTAAGCAATTAGACTACACAATGCTTTTGGCCATGTTAGGTTAGATTTTATCGATCTCTAGTCTAAATCAATCAAATAACTTTATTAATTTAAGCACATTGACTAGTCTTAGCGCAGCAGGACCTTTGACCATCTCCATTCACTCACACGCTGCATTAAGATACACCTCTAGTCTGTCCGAGTGGGGTTCAAACCATGAGCAATCTAACCACTGAGCAACTTCTGCGATGGACCTATATCTCCAGTTACAACACATAGACGGATTAAAAGAAGGACAGTTAGACTGTCTAATCAGAGAAATTTAGTTCACATTCCCTGTAAGAAGATAACATCCAGTCCTACTGAAACTAATCAGAAACTTGCTGTGCTCAATGTCAGATCTTTATGTAACAAATCATTTCTAATTCATGATTTTGTTTCTTCTTTTAATCTTGACTTTATGTTTTTAACTGAAACATGGCTTGACAAAAACACAGGTCATGCAGTGCTAGTGGAATCAACCCCCTCCCAACTTCAAATTTGAATCTGAAACACGAGCAAATAAAAAGGGTGGAGGAGTGTGTGCATTTTTTAGAGATCATTTGGTTACACACAGGTTGTCATTTGGGGTGTTTTCATCATTTGAGTATGTTTCCTTTAAAATGGAGCTAAAACAATCACCGTCCATACTCTACATAGTCATATACAAACCTCCTCAGCACTGTCAAAGTTTTATTGATGATTTTACTGAGATGCTTTCAGTTGTATGCACAGACTTTGATGGTTTTTATTATTACAGGTGATTTTAATGTACATGTGGATAATGTGTGTGACAAAAATGCCAAAGAGCTTAGTGTTGTCCTTGAAACTTTTGGACTGACTCAGCATGTCAGTGAGCCCACTCACAACAGAGGGCACACTCTGGACCTGCTCATTACAAAGGGTGTAAATATTTCAAATGTCAATGTGGTTGATGTTGCTTTGTCTGATCATTTCTGTGTCTTCTTTGACATGTCTGTTATTCCCAAACCACTGGCTGCTCCTTCAGTTGTTCGAAGAGGACACATAAATGATAACACAGGTGCACTGTTCATGGAAATGATAAATTTTGAAATTGCCTCATGTTCTAATGTTGATGATGTGTTGAACTCTGTGACTTTGAGTGTTTTGAATGTTCTGGATGCCATCGCCCCGATAAAGGTTAAAATGGTTAAAGATAGGCAAAAAGCTCCGTGGAGGAATGATGACTCAGTCAGAGCACAGAAAAGGGAGTGCCGGAAGGCTGAGCGGAAATGGCGCAAGTCAAACCTCCAGGTTCATTATGAGATTTACAGAAGAAAAATGCATATGTACAACTACACTTTGAGTAAAACAAGAGAGAAGTATTTTTCGGACATTATTGGTAATTGTAGTAACAACTCTCGTGTCCTGTTTGCAACAGTGAACAAATTAACAAACCCTCCAGCTCCACTGCCACTAGAACTAATTTCCACATCTAAATGTAATGAGTTTGCAGTTTTCTTTAATGACAAAGTTCAGGGCATCAAAAATGCCATCAATTCCACAACACAAATAACAAGCATGCAGCCACAGAGACACTTAGAGCTGAATCACTTTGCACCTGTAACTGACAAAACTGTTTTAGAGATCGTTACCAGTCTGAGTTCATCTACTTGTTGCCTGGACATGTTACCCACTAGATTTCTAAAGTCCGTCCTCAACAGTTTACTTTCACCACTCACTCACATAGTTAACATGTCACTTCAATCTGGAACATTCCCAAACGCGTTGAAAACTGCGGTCATTAAGCCTCTCCTAAAGAAGAGCAGTCTTGATGCCACAGTACTGAACAATTTCCGACCCATCTCAAATCTGCCGTTTTTTGGCAAAGTCCTTGAAAAAGCTGTTTACCAACAGCTTACGAACTTTCTCCAAATGAACAACTCCTTTGATGTTTTCCAGTCAGGTTTTAGAGCCCACCACAGCACTGAGACTGCTCTTATCAAGGTGACAAATGACATCCGCCTGAACACTGATGCAGGCAAAGTCTCAGTCTTGATCCTGTTAGATCTGAGTGCTGCTTTTGACACTGTCGATCATGGGATCCTCTTACAGAGACTAGAGGACTGGGTGGGCATCTCTGGTACTGCATTAAATTGCTTCAAGTCCTATCTAGAAGACAGGAAGTTTTTTGTTGAAATTGGAAACTGTGTCTCAGATCACATGGCCCTGACCTGTGTGGTGCCTCAGGGGTCAATCTTGGGCCCCCTGTTGTTCCAGGCCAGTTAATAAGCAGCAATAACATGTCCTACCACAATTATGCAGATGACACTCAGATCTACGTCTCTCTGGCAGCAGGAGACTATGGACCAGTGGACTCACTTGGTCACTGCATCCAACAGATCAGTGTGTGGATGCAAAACAACTTTCTCCAGCTAAACTCTGACAAGACTGAAGTCATAGTGTTTGGTCCACAGAAACAAAGGGACAGTGTCAGCAGTCACCTCCAGTCTCTCTCTCTAAAACCTTCAAATCAGGCAAGAAATCTAGGGGTAATAATGGACTCAGACTTGAACTTTAACAGCCACATCAAATCAATAACATCTGCAGCCTTTTACCATCTAAAAAACATAACAAAAATCAAAGGTTTACTGTCTAAAGCAGACTTGGAGAAACTTATCCATGCGTTTGTCTCCAGTAGATTAGACTACTGTAATGGTCTGCTCACTGGTCTCTCCAAACGAGCTGTGAGACGCTGCAGAACATCCAGAACGCTGCAGCTCGGGTCCTTACTCGAACTAGGAAGTATGAGCACATAAGTCCTGTGCTCAGGTCTCTGCACTGGCTTCCTGTGCCTCAGAGAATAGACTTTAAAGCAGCTCTGCTTGTGTACAAGTCTCTCCATGGCCGAGCACCAAAGTACATCTGTGACATGTTAGTGTCATATGAACCATCTCGCACTCTGAGGACCTCAGGGACCGGCCTCCTGCTGGTGCCCAGAGTCAGGACTAAACAAGGGGAGTCAGCGTTTCAGGTTCATGCAGCTAAAACCTGGAACAGTCTTCCTGAACATGTGAGACAAGCCTCTTCTGTGACGCTGTTTAAATCCAGGCTCAAAACATTTCTGTTTAACTGTGCATATAACTGAAAGGTTTTCATTCCGCACTCTTCTCTCCAATTTATGTCTCTCTTTTTAAATTTTTATATTTATGTTTTGATTTGTTTTTATTATGATTTTAATGTATTTCTTATTCTGTAAAGCACTTTGAATTACTTTGTGTACAAATTGTGCTATACAAATAAACTTGCCTTGCCTTGCCTTGCCTTCTGCTAATTAAAAATTTTGTCGTCAGAGGATAATGTTAAAAATCATACCACGTGTATGTTAATCCACAAATATGAACAGTAAAAAAACTCTTAAATGGTAAAGTCCATGCAATAATAATAGGCTCTGAATTGGGAGTTCATTATCAGTATTCAAATCAGATGTAAAGGCAAAAGTCAACAGAACTGGTTGTGTCAGTTTTTGTTGTCATTGAGGATGAACTTCCAGGAACAGGAAAGAAGAGACAGGAATTAAAAGGTGGTAACATCAGATAACACAGCATAGAGAAGACAACCTCTCATCAGGTAAGACACTTGTACTTGTACTTGACATTTGTATTATACTTGAAAGGACAAATATTGTGTAAAAATCCACTTTTAGAAACTTTAAATCATGTTATAATAGTCATTGTTTTTTGTTTGTTTATTTATTTATTTGTGCTGCATTGTCCCACTTTCGAGACTTGAGTGCTAAGATAAATTCAGTTTCCATCTACCTATGTTTGCCCACTGCTAAACTCATTTATGAATTACCAACAATCCAAACATGTAAATACAAACTCGTCTCATTTGACTTAAGAAATTTTAACTAATGTTGTACATTTTGTATAATAAACTTGAATATCTTATGTTATATTATGCTCTTAGCCCAGTTCTTTCACATTTATTTAAAGGAGCACTATGTAATTTCTCTGGCGGAGGGTCTGCCCCATACTTTTCACCAAGGAGATGTTGTTGCTTGGCTTGGAATACTGTGGGTGCTTTTCCACAGATCTGACCTATATAACTCAACCTACATGGTGGCATCACCTGCTTGTCATTCCAGCAATAACAAAAGAATAACATCTCCATGGAGACAAGCAGGCAGCTGAACCTCCACCATAAAGTTACATAGTGCGCCTTTAACTGACAACTTTTGTTGTAGGGTGAGCCTGAAGATATGGAAAATTCCTCAATTGATCAGAAGCCTCGTGCAGTCTCGGACAACTCTGAAAATCATGTCAACCAAAAGCCCCCTCACATTCGGGAGCGAAGTTTTACCGACATTCAGACAATTATCAAAAAAGATGCTTCAACAAATACAACCCCACTGCTTACAAGTGAAACACAACAAAGAGCTTTTCCTCCAGTACCACTCACTGAAAACAAATATAATGTAGTTTATGAAACTGTGATTGAACCAGACATGGAGGCCAGTATTGAGCAAGTGTACAAAGAAAGCAGCTCTAAAAACATGAATATTGATTTCTGTCAGTGGAATGCAATGCCAGTAGCTGATGGGCACCCAAACCAGGACGTGACAGGGGTAAGTTATATCACTGGAATTTATGATAATGTCTGCAAAAGCCCCAGGTGATACGGTAACGATTAAGTATCTGTCAACTTGTCAAATTCTATTTTAGTGTGGGTTAGTTTAGTTGTTTTATTTTCTTTAGATGTTAGATAAGTTTGTTGTTGGACTTACTGGTAAAGGCAAATAATGCCTTTGCCAGTAAGTCCAACAACAACTGAAAAAAATGCACTCAAAAAAGTCAAATGAAATGTTGACCTTATAAATCCATATGTTTAAAATTGATGAATATTTAGGATTGCTGCCACAGCAGCATTTAAAACAAAATATGTGTTTTTAATGGTAAAAGTCATCAAAATGTTACCATCAGGAAGCTGAAATACATGAATGAACCTATTATGTTATCTTTTTCCAATATTTTTATGTTTTATGTATGCAATGTATGTAAGTACGCATGTATTTTAAATATATTATTACAAAATCTAAATTATTATTGCTTTGGATAAACGTAAAATAATCAAATGGAAATGAGTGACACATTATATTTAAATAGGGTCAACAACTGATTTTTCTGAGTCTAGACCCAGCATAAAAATATCCAACAAGTCAATAATAATAACATTTATTATTTTATTATGTTATATTATTATTTATTAAGCCTTTAAAGTCTAACCTCTTTCCATTCTTTAAAACTGTGCTGCTGCAGGAGGAAAGAAAACAAGAAACCGATGAAAACTACGAAGAGGAAGTGTCTTGCAGTGATGAGTTAAATGGATTGTCTAAATCTCATCAGACAAACTCGCATAAAAGAAACGAGTCTTCTTGGAGGTAAATTGACATCACATTGCTTTTGTTGAAAATTTTAAAATGCCTGAATCATAAATATTTGATTCCTAATAAACGTATGAAGTCAATAATTTTAATATTATTTTTTCCCTCATCCCCTGTTACTTACTGTTACTACTATTATGTCTTTGCAGTTTTGGCTCCTTCTTCATCGGCCCTCCAGTTGAACTTGTGGCAGAGGTGCTCTCAGGTAAAGAATGGGAAAGATTTTTGGAAAATAATCCAAAATTACCTCCAGATCCGATCTTGCCTCCCTCAGTAGAGTTCTATGAGTCTAATCTGTACATGCATGATGACAAATCTACAAAAAAGCAAGCCAAGTCAATGGGTAAATAATTTAAATAGTAAAGGTGCATATGTTTGGAGTCGGTATATAATATTTATCTAGTAAATGTGTCTTACTTCTTGATTTAGGGAAAAACACAGGCTCGATGAAGATCACTAAGGTCTCCAAGGTTTGTAACAACTTTTTCAAACAATATACATGGGTTTCAGAGTGATACAAAATTTGTAACATTGCCACACCTGTTGACAAATTAAAAGAAAATATTCTGTCTTTTGAATGGTGAAAAGTACTCAAAATAGGGCTCAAAATATAAAGTTGAAGCCCATGAAAAAAAAAAAAAACATTAACATTATCTTGCTACTAAAATTTTGTCAAACTTGCATGATCCATAAATGATTCCTACCTACTAACATGAGCCTTTCTCACAGTAAATATGCTATAGTTAACTTACTTAACTTAAAACTCTCCATGCCAGAAGTTGTATAAGGCCGCCACACTTCTAGTCCTCTCTGTGTGCTGCTGCTTTTTCCGCCTCCCAGCTGTGCCATCATGTACTGATTCTTTCTTTCTCCACTGTTCCTCTCCATGTTGTTTTGGGTATTAGCTCTTGCTCTTGGGTATTAGCTCTCTCTTGTTATCACTAATTTCGTTCAGTGTTTTGATATTATTGGATACATGTTGCTCCCAGTGGATTTTCAGTTATCTTCTTAGGCATTTGCTCTGAAACTCTTTTAGTTTATTTTTTTTCTTTCTTAGTGATCTTCCATGTTTTGCATCCATGAAAAGTACAACAGCTTGAACAATGGTGCCATATTCTTTGAGCTTTGTTTGCCTCCTCAGCCTTCTTGTGTGCGGACCACACTTTTTGTCAGGTTTGTCGTGCGTTTGTCTTGCCTTCTGTAACTGAGCTGTTATATCTCTAATCCCTTCTTCATCTCTATCTATCATTGCCCTGAGATATTGGAAGTGCTCAACCTTCTCAACTCTCCTCAGTGTTTTACACTTGTTCAGGTTGACTTTCATCCCAAATTATTCTGCTTCCTGGGCCAGTTTAGTTGATTTCTCCTAGAGGTTACTGAATGTAGAAGATCAGCACAATGTCTATGATACGATTCACTGCATATTTACCATTGCAAGATTTGGTCAGTACCTTGGTGGAGGTCTGATTAATATATTGTATTACTCTGTATAGGTCTCATCGGAGGAACCAAATCTGCCTCACCGCCTTCCTCCCAAACTCTATCTCGCCTCCTCCTCTTCACTGGCTCAGAGCAGCATTTTCAGATCCTCCATTTTCTACGAACTTCCACCTCCAGGACAAAAGTTACCAGTGAACACACCCAAGGTATACTGGAATACAAATATTTTCTTCATTACAAATAGTTAAAAACTAAAAATATTACCAAGAATATATTAGACTGATATATCAATTATTTGTAATTTGGACAAGACAAGAAAACAAGACAAATGTAGTTTGAAATAGTAAAGCCTTACTCAGAGTCATATACTGGTAACAGGTTATACAAATGCACTGTGTAATTACGTAAGCCATATAACCCTCCATCAGAAAAAGTTACTAATGTGTATTTAAAAAAAAACAGCTACACTATATATTTACATTGCTTTTTGGTTAATCATACCTTGTGTTCTGTTCTCTGTCTCCCTCAGTCTGGTCCTGTGGCTCTCCAGAAGATCAAGGCAAAGCTGAGGAAGTTATCAGCAGAAGAGGCACAGCTCAAAGAGATGTTTGAATAGAAAAGAATATACAGAACATTATGCATTTTTGGAAATCAACAGGAAACACAGCTCCAAGAGAAAGGTGAAGGACTCTAAAAATGCACTGTTTTACAGAATAAAACATTTAAGATTTGGAATGCTTTGCCCCTTTCCCTCCATGTGGCCAACTTCTGTCTCATGTGACCTCATTTTGCTTATTTTTGTTTATTTTGTGTACCTGCTCTCTGTAAAGCACTTTGTGTGATTTTTATCTGTGAAAAGCACCATATTAATAAGGTTTATTTACTTACTATTTTGGGCTAAATTACACTTCAGTGACAGTGTTCTTACTTTACACCCAGTTAAATGGCTTTAGTCCTACTTTAAACTGTGAACACATTTTTATGGTCACTCATATTGACTGGACAAGGAAATGCATTATGAAATCAGTTCTCTGATATTTTTGATTTTCACAAAATAATTATTTACCTTTTGATACAATACTGAAATTGTACTCAATAATGTTATAATATTCTCTTACCATTCTTTTTTAAATGTATCAATGAAAATAAAACGACAAAAACATATAATTAACAATGTACTTATTTATTCTAAGCCTTCACAAAAGCATTGCAAATACACATGAATCCATTTTTATATTATGTTCACTCTTACAATACAGTAATAACTATACTATGTCCAAATATAAAAGGCTTTTCACAGCAAAGTTGTCAAAAAGACGAAGAGATATCAGTAAGGTTTATATAATGTCATAACGAGTGATCAGTATGTATTTACACAATGTTAAAACATTGACTAAGAGTATTTTTATGCATCTCAAGTGAAAACATTCACAGCCAGAGTATGTCACTTTTTAGTCCAAAAAATGACTAAAATGAAAGCATGTTTTGTTTTTGTTTTTTGTTTTTTTCCATTTTGGCTCTGCACTGAAAAACAAACTCTGGCTTGCACCTCCACAAACCTGACTGTTATATGGCCTACCTGCTTGTTTCCATAGAAATGTGGTTCCTTTGGCTAGAAAATTCCATAATATGAAAAAATGTATCTACGTATCTTTGGAGAATATTCCAAAGTATGTGGTTTTCACTTTCTATTCCCATAGAATCATGCAGGTGACATGCCACCTCCAGAAAGTTACACACTGCCAGCTCAATAAACATGGAGGCTGTTCACTGCAAAGCTGTTTTCCATGAAGTAATTTTGTATAGCCTTTAGTACAAGTAAAGTTCTCAAAATGTTGCAAAGAAAAAACAGATATACAACATCTATCTTCTTTTAGTACCTCCAAACCCTGCAAAGACAGAACAAGGGGTTACTAGGTTAATAGGTTAAGCAATAAGAAGTTAATCAGTTCATTACAAATGTGAATGTACAATAACTAAGAACCATATCTTAAAAAAACAGCACACCAAATAGGTTGCTTTCATGTTAAAATTTAAAATTTGAGGTCACGGTCTTCTATAACTCTATGGGAGATTATAAGAAATATCCACTTAACATCCACAAACCTTTTGTGACTATTGTGACAACAGTATTTCGCTTTTGTTGCTGACAGAAGACGTTGAACTTTGTTCCAGTTTTTATTTCATGTGGCTAGACCCAGAAACCATAAAGCAGGTCAACAAATCTACAATCTGAGAGTTAAACAGCTAATTTCATCACCGAATTCTGACCAGTCCTCCAGCTCAATGTAAATCAATGAGTCTATATTATTTACAACTTTTTTTTCTCTGACCTGAAGCAGTTCTGGTGCCAGAGGAGGCAGAGGAGTGTGTGGAGGAGGAGGGTCTGGAGTAACTGTCCGTGTGGCTGTAATATCCACGAGTCTGATAAGGCTGGGACCTGAAACAATAAAACATGTTATTTATGAGATAAATACAGAGAGTACACTCTTTTCATGAAATAATTTATTTTTTTGTAAAAAGAAGGAGTAGGCAACAGTTTCTAAAATATTTTTTCAGAATGATATAACAGATTCAAGCAGGTTTGTTATAATTAACAGATGTAGCAATGGCCTAAATGATTTATGTGTATGTAAAAACATGATCACAATGTATTTTTCTTTAATTAATAAAAAAATTACCTCCTGAATGCTTCACTGTCTTTTCTCAAATGATAACCAGAGTTAAAGGTGCACAATGTAACTTTCCTGGTGGGACGTTCGTCTACTTGTATCAATCCATGTTCCACAATATGGCATTAAACTTATCCAAAGCTTCTATTAATCCGCTCCACAGGTCAGCAAAATGGATGCAATCAGGTGATGGACCCTCCACCAAAAAACTACACAGTGCATCGTTAAAATTTATTTAGTCTCTCTACTGACCTCTGGCGGCCAAATATATAGCCCAGCAGCCCACCAGCTCCCATCCCTCTCCAAAAGCCTCCCCCTCCAGTCCCAGTGTTGCGAGTAGAGCGCCCCTCGGTGTATGGATACTGGCCCTGCGTGTAGTCACTGTGGAAGCCATAGCCTGGGTTTGCTCCGGGATAACCTGCAGCAGAACAAACAAATGTTAAGTTGTGTCTTTTATTGTTTCAAAATTATGTAATAAATAGCACTGTATTCATGGGTGTCAGCTTTCTGTTTTTTGGTGATTAACCATATAAAAAGATATAATTTTTGGCTTTGAATCGTTAATTGCTGTGGCAATGGTCCTTACTTTTCATCATTCTGGATCCATGGATAGAATGGAGTATAAAGATGTATAATTTCCTTAAGTTTTGTATCTTTACGAATGTAATTTTATTTGCTTAGGAATAGTTTAATATTTAGATAGTATGATATCTAGCCAGAAAACAAAAATGCCATTCCTCTTTGTCAGTGCATATACATACATATAAAGGTTTCTGAATTAGGACTTAATAAATTAATAAAAACATATATATTGTAGTTTATTTTTGTCCAAACTGTATGACAGTTTTCTGTGTTCATATCTTTAAAAATATGCTATTGCTATGGTAGATTGCTGTGTACCTGTGGAGGTGTAGTCAGGCTTAAATCCGGGAGGAGGGGGGCCAGAGGCAGCGCCGTGGTGGGTCTCTCTGGGCTCTGGTCCCTGGTTCACTGTGTTTCCGCTGAGGAACAGTTTGTATAGACCAAACGCGATCAACAGCAGCAGCGCCACCCCCCAACAACCCTGAAGAGTCATCTCCACCCGAGGGAAAGGAGCTCTGACGTGGAGGAGATTGTGACTTATGACCAGAGAAACCATTGAAGAAACTGGAAGCAAAACCTGCAAAATCTGACCAAAAAGAACAATAATTTGATTAATGTTTATATTAAAATTTTGATCCATATCCATGCTAACAATATTAATAAATTATCCTTCCAGAAGTGTAAGCACAAAAATTTTAAAATCAATTCCAATACTAAAGAAAATGTTCAATATTAAATACCAGTTTTGATACCACAAGGATGTTAAAAAGACACTGTTTTTGTACACAATATAAACATCAAAATAATAGCACATTAATTAATATTATCATATGGTCTTACACTTGTTTTAAAGTCCAAGAACAATCATACTTTTTCCCAGTATCAATTTTTGGTCAAAAGAATATATAGTTTTGATACTAGTCACCAATTAGTTGTCAGATAGTATCTGGGTATTATTATTAAGGGCCTGCACCAGATTTTTCTCCATGTATTTGAGCAAAATTTGCTATATTGTATAAGTAGTAGAGGTAAAAACAAGTCTGCTGTGTACTGTGTACTCTAGTTACAAAGTTTTTATTGTTTGATAGACAGGGAATATTGTAGTTGTGAAAAGTGCTTATAGTCATCGCAGTGAATAATTAGGTTATGCATTCCGAGCATCCTAAGTGAGGAACAACTTTCAACCACTGCAAACTTTTTAAAATAACCTTTTTCATGTTTTTAAGAAATTAATATTTTGATCTTCATATCAGTTTAAAAAAAAATAGATATCCTCAAGATGTACTGTACCTCCAAATCCTCCAGACCCCCGTTGGGACCCCCACCCGCCCTGGCTCCTCCTGCGCCCCTCTTCCGTCAGCTCCAGAGTGTACTCCAGACCACAGGAGCCAACCAGGACGTATGGGTCAGATGGGTGATTGTAGCCCTCACAGCTAACCTCAACACGCCCAAAACGATATGCATTATCCATGTCTGTTTTACACTCCCACTGCAGAAAGAAAAAATTGTTTAGTTTCACATGGCATTTTTACTTTCACCACATTCATAAATCTCCTCTTTGGTGTTTCTTTTTCCTGTTGGCCTATACCTGTACATCGACCCCGTCCCAGCCCTTGTTCTGGCACTGGACCACCTCTGGAGTGAAGGTGTGACACCCAGCAGAGCCCCCCACACACTGGAGCTGAGGCACTGGGCTGGTCCTGCGGCCTGTGGTGTAACGGCCCCTATACAGAGTCAAGACCTGGATGTCCCGCAACAAAACACTAGCTCCTGAGGAGAGAGAATATGATTTACTGAGATTGTTTTCCAAGGATTTAGTTTAAATCTACAGTGATAGAGCAAGATTTGTAGTTCTATACACTTTCTGACTCAGATGATCCATCTAACTCAAGCAGTTCTCTAGCAATGGTTCTTTGAGTTTTGACCTACTTGAATTATCCCTCTAACAGTATAAGTGGACAATGGACAAGAAATAGTTACAACTGAATTAATATATTTATTAAACATGTACACTGCAATCTAAACTTGTGTAACATTACCGGTACTTGTGCTTACAAGTGAAAGTAAAAAAAATAATATAGAATGCATATAAGGTACATAATTTGCAATAGCATATACTTTCAAGAATGCAAGTACAGTGAGAAAATTACCAAAATTAAAACTAACCATAATAACAAACTATACTAAATGTACCAGTCTGTAAACAACAGATTCGTGTATAATAAACGTTGTTAATGTTATAGAGTTTGATCAAGAGATTAGACCTATATATCAATAATGTAATATTCCAGAGAAAATAAAGTTTTACATTGGATTATTGGTATGAATTTCGTATTTGCACGGTAAATAGAAACAGGAAGTTGAATAGCTATAATTTAGCTTTAGCTAATTTCTTTTAAAATACTAACCGTCATTCCAGCAGGAACCAGGCTCCAAAATGGAAAACGCGACCAAAAATATTAACGCCTGCTTCATCTTTGTATAATAAGTCATAAATGTTGATATTATCCTCGATCTAATATCTTTTTACTTGATTGCAAACTTGATCATCACGAAACGACACTACATCGGCGTTACTAGATACTTCCGGGTTACGTCATATGTTTTTGCTTCACTGGGCCAATCAGAAACCTGCACGACTAGTTCACAAAAACTGATGCAAATAAAGAGGAAAGTTTAGGATTATTGCCACAGTTTGCATCATCTGTATCTATGGAATAAAAATGTATATATTTTATGCAAGTACTTATAATATTGGATTATAAAGTAAGAATCCATAATATCTACTACAAATGGTATTACATTTATAGACACAATAACTACAAAATAGATATTGATTGATTTGACTGATTGATTAATTTATTTATAAGTAATTTATAGTAAAAATTAGAGTAATATGGTGGTTACATAACAAAATTTTACTAAAGTACTAAAAAATGTCATAGTGTGTTCCAAGTCTTAATCAACAATAGCAGTTTAGTTTGTATTGTTAGACATTGGATGAAATAACTCATGTGCCTTCCAGTGTTTTTTACATTTAAAAAGGGTCTCATTGTTCATGCTTATGTAACTGCAGAAAAGTCCAAGTTCTTTCAAAAGGTTAATTTTTGTTACATAACAAACTGTTCATAACCTTGTACTTTTTCAAATCTACTCTGTCTATGTAAGAACAGCAGAGTAAGTAAGATAGCACATAGCAAGTTGATCCCATTCTTGACTGACAGTAATTGTCAAAAAAGAAGTCATGGGTTCAATTCTATTTTCTCCCTGCATCAACCTAAAATATGGGTCAGATGTAGGTCTGTAACAGAAATTGGGTGAAACATGAATTTAATTACTTATCAATATGTAAGGTCTTTTACAGCTAAATTTATTACAGCTGAAAAGATTTTTACTGGAAATATGTTAAAGTTATCAGTCTTAAATAATTATCAACATTGAGATTTAACAGTTCCAACCAAATTCCCTACAAGAACATCGGAAAAACCTTTGTTTTGTTACTTTTATTTAGCTATTATCTGAAATCGGGCTGTGTCCATGCAAAATAAAATTTTCAATTACACTAATTACTCAATTATTCAATAAGAATGCTGCAATGAAAAATAGTTAATTATCTTAATTAGAATGCCACTCAAAATCTGTAAAGGCACTTCTAGAAAAGCCTAAACAGATTACAAAAGTAACAAAATACCAATCAAATATATTAAGTCTATTCTTTTGCAGCAGGTTAATTTTTAATAGTTGTTTGAAATAATTCTAATTTTAATTTTCCCCATAACTGAGCAGAACTAATTTGAAATAAGGAAAAAAAGACCACTCATGTTGGATTTTGGTGTATAATTTTAATGTACTCTCACAAGTCGGTGAACAAGGTACAAGTTTTGTCGCTCACGGTACTAAATCACACATCCACTGATAGTATAAATAGCCAACCTAAAAATAATAGTACACATTTTTAATACATAAAATCATCATCAAGTATCGAAGTCTTTAAGTTACTGACAAAATAAAAAGGCATACAAAATATAGCAGACGTTGGAAGTCCAGTTTGAAGCAAAAAATATGAACGCAAATAAATCCGGAAACTAAAAACTAAACTCACATTTTGGACATGGCAGTTAATTGGTAAACAAAAAGTTTGATAGGAAAATAACAGCTGCTAGACTTCGCTTAACAAATATGCGACAATTAAGCATTTCATAGTAAAAAACTGTACTGAAAGGGCATAATTGTTAAGACTTCCTGCACAAGACGAAGGCAACAATTTGTTTATTTTTTTTTGTTTTTGTTCCGAGTAGAAAAACCAAACACCTTTTTAAATGCCAGCCATCACGATTGCCAGTTGGTGCACTTTGATTGTAAGGCATTTATGGATGTGAATTCTAAGGAAGGCATAGCTCTTTCTAGTCTTTCTAGTCAGTCACCACAAATTCATCTATAATAAGGAACAATACCAGACAATAGGTTGTGCTCACTAACTACATATATTTTTATGCCAATCATTTAGATGGAGACTTTTTTTTTTTTTTTTAACAATTATTTACTGTTTAATATTTTATTGTGGCTGTACTTGTACTTTTACAGTTGCAACAATAACATTTCTTGAGACCGACAAAGTTTTGTTATCTTAATCTTTTGGCTAAATTGTCTGTTTACAATTAAAAGTTTTAGTAAATGGATTGATATTACCACTTCTCCATGCCATTTTAAACCATTATATAACAAGTTCAAACAAACTTTCTAATCACCCTAGTTTTAACTGAGTGTGGATAGGTCCAATAATTGCAGATCTGGTGACACGAATTCATATCAAACTAAAATATAATTGTAGACTGTAGACAACGCATTAAGCCACAAGATTGTTGTAAGATCGTTGCTAAGAAATAACTGTAGATTTTGGTCATTCCTATTACTTAATGGTTTTTACCCTCCATCTTTGATTTTGACATTGGAATCTAGTGAACGCAACCTATTTTTGAAGCACAGGTAACAGACTGCCCAATTAAAATATATATATTCCAACATCTTACATTGATTCATGCTGCCTTTTTATTTCTCATCTGTTACAATGGGCACACTTAAGGACTATTCTCTCCATTTTGACACTTTGATACCTGGAGGAGGAAGGAATCATTGATAAAGTTTAGCATAGAATTTCAAAATAAAAGTACTTCAACACAATGTAATAAAAGATATAAGCCTGCCAGTGCAGCGCTAGCTAGGACTTTCATGATTAGAAATGGTAAAAGTTGGTTGGCTCGAATTTTGGCTGTAATTTGTGAATATGTTTTACTGGATGCAGCAGTTATTGCGATGGCCGTTGGAGTCTTTGAAGCGAAGGCGCATTTTTGGACGATATTTCTCCAGATAAAACAGCTGCTTACTGTTGAAAGCTCCTCTGCGCTTCCTGGGAAAAAAAAAAGTGAGATTATTATAAGGAACAACATTTTTTTTTAATGTTTTTTTTTTTTTTTTTTTTTTTTTTGAGTATTTGTTAAAGTGGTTAAACTCCTCAAACAACCACTTTAAAATAGAGATTCTAAACTGGGCAGCATCTAGAAAACTAAAGGGGAGAGTGAGAGAAGAGGAGGGGCGGGGTCTGAGGATATAAGGGACAGCGTGATTGGTCAAACTGCACCTCCTGCAGCCAGGTGTTTGTCAGCAATCAGAAGCATTGAGCTTTGATCAGGGCAATACAATGTGATGTCAAATAGTACTTGAAATTGTGTGCACCTAGTTGGCGCCAACAATGCCAAAGGACCAGGAACAGTAAACAATACTATTAAAACACCATATACACAGTTTAGTAGCAAAAAGTACCTGATCTGTTTATTTCCACTTTAAAATTAAAGTAAATGTTTTTGTCATCTTTTGGGTTAATCATTATGTAGCACTACCTTATCCTTACTTTAGTCTCACTTTAAACCATGTTCAACCTTAAGAGATTGGGGTTACATCTGGTGGCATTCAGAAATCTGAATATCATCATATATATATATATATATATATATATATATATATATATATATATATATATATATATATATATATATATATATATATATATATATATATATATATATATATATACATATACATACATATACATACATACATATATATATACATACATACATACATACATACATATATATATACATATACATACATACACATACACACACACACATATATATATATATATATATATATATATATATATATGTGTGTGTGTATGTATAGTAATTGTGGTAATAGACAGGGTAATTAAATCAGAATTTAAGATCAGGCTGGCATACAAGCAACAGTGTCTGAGGAATCTTTTTGAAAGTTAAAATGAGCATGCTGCTCACAGCAGAGAAAGAATAACCACTGTCCATATTATTAAAATAAGTTAGCTTAAATTAATAGAAATATATACGTATAGGAATATGACAATATTCACCTCAATGTAGTGAAAAAAAGAAAAGTTTACTGTGAGCGAGCTGTTTGATACCTGTTGAGATATTTGGCTACAGAAACATTTATTAGAGCCACTCATATCATTTTTAATACAACCACAAAACAGACCATAATGCAATCAGATTCTAACATCAAGTCTTTTTATTGATGTATGAGTACCGTATGTATGAGTCAGCTATAGCCCTGAGTCACAGTGGTGAGTCATGTCTCCTCTATGAGATTCTTTAGATAAGATACCAATCGTTCTGTGGCCACTTTGTTTTGTACAAGTTGAATTTCTCTTCATTATCAAAAACATTCAAACTACTTGTACTTTTTGTTGTTTTTAAATTGGCATAGATTTTTAATTCAAAGATGCATTACGTAATTTTTGTTGGCGAAGGGAATGTCAATAAAATCTGGAGATGTCACCGCTTGGCCTTTAAAGGGATAGTTCGGATTTTTTGACATAAATCTGTATGGCATCCCCGTCATCAGTGTTGTGCATTCACACTGACTTACCCCCGAAAGCGTCCGGTGAACCGAGATACTGGCCCGTTTTGGTGCTGAGGAAAGTAGTTCGGCAAGTTGTGTGGGGACTGTATACTAAAGCGTTTTTCTTCTCAAAGCAATATGTGTTCAAAAGAGTGATACATTTGCATCACAAAACCATCGTCGCCAAAAAAGTCAGATCTCATAATCGCTTGGCGCTATTTTCTCTCTGTACGTACCATTGCGCGCGGCTGCCAGGTGACAGCCGCGCACCGATCCATCATTTTCTTCAGTTGTTCGGCAGTGTTTACATGCGCAGACCGCCGCCACGCGAGAGAGCTAACGAGAGAGCTAGAGCCATAAGTATATGAGCTTGTATAAGATACATATGAATATATCTAAAAAATGGTGCGAACTCTTGATTATCCAGGCTGTAACAACAAAAATCTGTCTGAATCTCCACGCACATTTCACTGTTTTCCTGTCACGGACTTTGCGCTGAGGAAACTTTGGCTTCTTGCCTTTGGCTTCAATGTGGAAACCAAACTAGGTAAGAACGAAGAAGTGCCGCTACGTTTACAAGAGGACAGGCTCAAGAATCAGCTGTAACTCTGTGTGCAGTAAATCACTCAGTGTCATATCACCAGTGAAGCTTCTACAAAACGTAACTTTATAAGTCGACTGTTATTACTATTGTAAATGTCACGTACACTATTGGCAGCAGCTACGTGGACGTGTGAATGATTCTATGTTTCTATTAGTAGTCAATACTTCAGTCACAGTGGAGGCTCTATGTTCGCTGTATACGAGTTTATAAATGACGTGATGGTGATTGTCGCTCACTCGGTCTCTCACGGCTCCAGCGTCAACTTGTACCACTTCTCTGTCTTTTCTCTCTCTCTCTGCCCGTTCTAACTCCATCTGGTGAAATTCGGCATCAGTATATTCGGGTTCACAAAGATCTCCCCTTGGGTTTGTGGTAAAGGCAAAGTCTTTATTGTCGGTGTCATAATCAGACATGTTGTCGCTAACATTCCGAGCAGTAAACAAAGTGAACCAGGCTCATATACTTATGGCTCTAGCTCTCTCGTTAGCTCTCTCGCGTGGCGGCGTCTGCGCATGTAAACACTGCCGAACAACTGAAGAAAGTGATGAATCGGTGCGCGGCTGTCACCTGGCGGCCATGCGCAGTGGTACGTACGGAGAGAAAATAGCGCCAAGCGATTATGAGATCTGACTTTTTTGGCGACGATGGTTTTGTGATGCAAATGTATCACTCTTTTGAACAAATATTGCTTTGAGAAGAAAAACGCTTTAGTATATAGTCCCCACACAACTTGCCGAACTACTTTCCTCAGCACCAAAACGGGCCAGTATCTCGGCTCACCGGACGCTTTCGGGGGGTAAGTCGGTGTGGATGCACAACACTGATGACGGGGATGCCATACAGATTTATGTCAAAAAATCCGAACTATCCCTTTAATGTGCCACAGTACAAGTATGGCATTAAAATCGATCTCACGGATTTTGAGCAGAAACAAGTTATCTCTGGCGTCAAGTTGGTGTTAGACCCTCTGAATAAAAAAAGTTCTTTAAATGAAAACAATGTCTTTTCGATTGTTTAATGACCAAAAAAAAAAAAAAACTATAACAGACCCTATTTCTAATACTCTCCACTTAGTATTGGTAAGCTCCCAAAGTCTAAAATAAGAGGAGTTTGAATTTTGTAAGTATAAACTTACTGCCGAATGAACTGGACAGCATCTTCATATTTCATCCCACATTCGATCAAAGCAAGTGCCACCAGAACGGGAGCTCTGCAAAAGGTAAATATCATGGTTAGCAAACGAGATACTAACTAATAACCAACATATTAGTATACTACAATACCAAAAGTGTTGTCACGATTCAAAAATTCCATTTCAATTCTAAGGAAATACTCTATGATACTCAGTATACTGATTTTTATACTCCAGCCATCATTATTTTAGATAATAGACTTGTACAGTTCTGTATATTGTATAAGCTCATTCAAAAACTATTCCGGAAAGGTCACATTTTGTTCAGTTTGATTTTTGACTGTGGTGATACTTATACAAGTCATACTTGAATACTTTTAGTATTGACTCATTTTTATATATGGATACTTTTAACAAATTAACTATAAAACATGATCCCAGTAGGACAACACAGTATATTAGAAATACCATGTTATTGCCATACAAGCATCTTTACTGTAATCAAAATTAGACCTAGACAAACTTTTTTGATCCTCAAGGGTAATCATTTGTACACAGTAGCTCATCTATTCAAAGCATACAATATTGTATGAAAATTCAAAATAAGAAGCTAAATTAAAAAGAGACAATGGATAGACAGCGCATTCATAAAATATTGATTTTATTTATAAGTGTATAAATGGATCCCTCACCTGCCCAGGCCTGCAACACAATGCACAGCGATGCAACAGCCTGGCTCCTCCCTAAATTTCAGCTTGAGCAGATTCAGCCAATCGTCCACGATCTGATTGGACGGGGGAGCTCCATCATCGAATGGCCAATCCTGGAGCAGAACAGAGCAAAATGGAAATGATGTTGGGGGCAGTCTCTTGGAAACCAAAATAAAGGAGTGAAATGCTGAGCTCACAGCAGGGAAAGGGCAATATTAGTGAAGAGGAGACGGAGGAGGGGCTGTGACAAACTACACAACTGACATTTAAGGCTTTCTCAGCAAAGACTGTCTAGACTGTCTTCAGCTGTTTTTAACTGTTAAACAAAGTGTGATATATTGTGCAACCCTATGCTCAGAACATTATTGTATCTAATTATTTAGATATTACAATGTCCTTTTGCAAAGAACAATATATCCTGTCTTTTTACAGAAAAAAAACTTGCAACTGTAGTTTTAGTTTTTTTTGTTTTTTTATTGTAGTTGTATTGTAATTTAGGTATGAGATTGATTGAACAGTTTTAGTTTATTGGAGGCATGACTCACCAGGACCTGGATGCCCTCCTTCACCACCAGAGTGGCATCATATGTGGCCTCACAAACCCTCACCACGGTGGTAACTCCATACTTCTTCAGCTCCTACAATTAAAGAGGATTAAAATAATATTATATGAACTTGCATTCACTCTTGAATTTGATGTGATGAGTAATATATCCATATATGTGTTTAACTTGATCAATGTTTTTTGGAGATTTGAAGCACTTTCTCCTCAAACTGAAGATGAATCAAATTTGTTGATGGGGCCAGTTATTTCAGATTAGGGCAGGCTGATATGGTGATACAAATAGGCTTTTTTTGGTGATATTTTCATATTGCAATTCAGTGTTTCTTTTAATGTATCCCCATACACAAACTTTCCCCACTTATTCCTCTCTTATTCCTCTCACACTTAGAGTGACATGTAGACTTAACCAATCACAATATAGTGCAAAAATTTCAGTAGAAAATCTGTGATATATTTATATTTTTTGCCCACCCATATAAATACTGATATCATCTTAAAACCATCCAAGATGCATTTTGTGACAAATAATTGCTTGCCGCTGGCCATATTTATTTGATTCAATAGGCCCTGTTATGTCATACTCACCTCAATGAACTTGTTCAGCGTGGCATTGGTGGGATTGTGGGTAATCAGGAACCTCATGTTTTTGTAGGTGATCTCCACTGGGGCTGGTCTATTCATTCGAGCCATTTTGACAATGTAAAAGTAAAATATAATGTAACAAAAGCCAAATGTCTCGTACAGAGGAAAAACACAGATGTAAACACTTAAAACGTGGAGGGAATGTCAACAAAAATGTCCAGTGGGTTAAAATCCTCCAGGCTTCTTCCAACAATTGGCAAGAATTGACAAAGGCTGCTGTTGTAATCTTGGGGCAATCTTGGAGAGTTGGCAGCCAAAAAAGGGTGGACAATCAGAACCGAAAAACTCAAAACCTTCTCTTTTTGGAATAAAACAAAAGAAAAGAAAGAAAAAAACAAGGCTGGTTCCACCTTATTGTGGCCAGGCGGGGGCAGTGTGCAGCAGGTGGAGTTACCCCATCCAGACAGAGTTGTGGCTGGTTCAGGGAGGGCTGACCGGTCCTGCCTGTGACGCGGGGTCCTCCTTTGGCTCAAGTGTGTCGGCTGGATGGCGAGTTTGGCTTTTCACTCGTCTGCATGTACGGCGTGCTGAGCCTGGCAGTAGTCTCCACTGCCCTTCAGAAACTCCATAAATGTGTGACCCAGAACACCACAGAACTGCTACAAGACACAGAGGGAAAGAGGTTAGGGACTGGAACAAAAACATGAATTCAGAGTAGACTGCAAGAATAATCACAATTGTATCTAAATCACAATCTGTAATTTAGACCATTTAATACATCTCCTGAAATGGGATTCTTGATTAGGATGTCCATTCAGATTTCTATTTGTCTTCTGGACACATCTAAAATTTGAAATGTAAATCTGACCCTGAGGCAGTCAGTTAATTTGGAAAGATTTACTGTGGCTAAACTTAAACTTTTAAATTGCGATCAAATTGTAATCATAACCAAGACTCCATTTCAGTTTTCAAAAAGATTCAGTGTAACAACTGAAATTTAAGGTCTACAAGGAAGACTTTTGTGCCATTTGATTTCCCTTCCTCACATATCCTTCTGCATTTATCTAAACTTGGGACTGGCACAGTATTGTGACCTCCGATGGTTGGATTCTCAGACAGCAGTTTACAGTTACAACCACAGTGGCTGAAATGAAATGATTTGTTTTGAAAAGTTCATAAAAAGTCTGGCAGCCGAAAGACTACACAGTGCCAAACAGCTTCAATGCAGGCAGATCAAGTGGACACCTAGTTTGTGAAATTTTCAATATGAAATATACAACAATGCCAAATTCACAAAATACAGATTATAAAGATTACATAAACACAATGAGCAACCCATGGTTAGCAAGAATATAAAACACATGTCACATGTTATAATGTGTTTTAATCTTGACATAACACAATTAACCTTGCATGATACTGGATAGTAACATAAAAATCTTTCATTTTGTATTTTTTCACCAGACCAAATCTATCCTTGGTTTCCTATTGATGTCATCATGCTACACTACCAGATGGGGGAAAAAGCCACATTACATTGCATTCTCATAAAACAGATTAAAAAAACGTAAATTCACAAATGGTGAACCTGCTTGTTCACCTCTATTAGTGTTTAAACCCTAGAACTCACAATATTACAAGATACATCTCTTAACAATATTAGTTTTATCTGCCCTCATCTGTTTTAAATATTATTTGAAACCCTGAATTCCCAACACCCCAGGAAAAGAAACAGGCTGCCTTATTACTTAATGCAGTGATTTACAAATACTACTCTTATCTTTGTCATAAAAGCAATCCACACTAATCCTAACTGTAGTGGTTTCATAGATGCCAGTAAGGCTTAAGCTTGAGTCTTGAATTTTAATTTCCTTGTCCAGTTTCAGTCCTCCTTCCTGCTCAAGTTACTGTACATGGCATATCTGTGTGATAGTGCGGATGTGTCACTTGTAACATGTAGGTCATATTATCTGCGCAAAGAGGCCCAAAGACAGGCTCCTCCACCTAAAACCCCAAACTGTGACTCACGAACGCATTCCCTCTGCCATTTTGTGCGCCCGTGTTTTCAGACTTGGTCCCAGGAACTGTGCTTTCCAAGAAGTCCATTTACCAGAACAGTTGTGCGATTTTCCCCCACTGTGCCCCTACAAGCCCATCTAAGGCGGTGTAATTGATGTTTGATGGTATAAGGAGCCATTTGACAAGCTAATTAAGTTGTTTTTCATTTGTCCATGACACAATCACGCTGACATGACAGTAAACAACAAGGTAAACAGCTTCCTACTCAATCTTTTACGCACAAATGTATTGAAAATTTAAAAGCAAAAAGGCCAATATGATCAGCAATTATTTAAAGTCAAATCTTTTAAATGAATCCGTTTGCTTTAGAACACAGCATAAAAGGTCATGTTTGAACGTAAAATGACAATATGAAAATTAAATAAAGAATTAAAATGGATAGATTCATGTTTTTACCAAACCGGTATTTTCCGGCTTAAAGCAGCATACAGTATAAAACGACACACGACGCTAAGCGAGAAGGTTAAATGCGCCAAAATAGAGACATAATTAAGAAAACAAAAGGTCTTTAAAACGTGATGATTGTTGTTAAGGGTCAGTAAGGCGTTGGAGAGCAATGAAGTGGTGGGCTTTGTGTGAGAACTGTGGGCGCCATCATGCAACGCTAGAGGCCTTAAGGTGTAGTCCAGGACGACGTAAAACATTTTATGATCATTTTAAGCACACAACACGACAAATTATTATTTTGAGACACAGTGAACCATCCGGCAAATCTATAAGTCGATGTCATGTGGGTGCTATGGTAGAAATCTATTGTTTTACGACCCAGAAACTTGCAGGCCACCGTCTCGTCTCCCCAAAGCGACCAGCTGCTGCTAAACGATGTGAAAGATTTGCCAAGTGCTCAAATTTTAGTTTTAAAAATAGTAAAAATTGGAAGAAAATGTGGCGTACTTACTGGGATATGCTTACTCATTGAAGATTGTAGCTTAATCATACAGCCGGTCCCCAGAAAACGGTAAAAATATAGAAGTGATCTCCACCATACAGGCCGGTACTGTGTGTCCGAGCGGAGCCGAAGTCTCCTGGGCTCGTTTTTTTTCGGCGAAGGCGAAAAGTCAAGCGAACCGGAAACGAAAGTGTGTGCGAAGGTACGGATTTCAGAATAAGACATATAAACTAGACTTTTTTTAGTTTTCTAGCAAGCATAGACTGTATATATAGTGGTACACAACATTAACAGTGGTTATGGTACACAATGAAATGAAAACAAAACGCTTAAGGTGGTAGTAATAATAATATATATTATTTATAACTAAAAGTGATTTGTTTTATAGCATATGTCCAGACCATGGATTCTTAGTGTTTTTGATCAACGGAGCCCAACTTTTTCAGTAGAAAGTAACCCAGGGCCCAATTTCATATTGTATGTATCATATTCTACTGATTGTTGGGCCCTCAAGGAGCTTATCGTAGCCCTACTTTAGACCCCAGCCCTATGATCAAGAATCACTGGTCTAGACTTTTCTAAGTCATACTGTGTGTGTGTGTGTTCCTCACCTTCCACACACTGGTTGGTTTCTCTCACTCTCATCCAGCTCGGGCCCTGAGAGCCTGAAAGTTCTGAGATGTCTGATGCTATTCTTGGGATCTGCTGTAACCACTCCTCCAGTTTGTTTGTCAATTTACAGTCCCGAGAGCTCCAGTCACCATGGGTACCACTGATGCCTTCACCTTCCAGGACTTCTCCAACTCTTCGTTGAGCCCTTGGTATTTCTCTAGTTTTTTGTGTTTCTTTTTCCTGATATTGCCATCACTTGGTACTGAAATGTCCTCCACCATGGTCTGTTGCTTATCCAACACCATCATATCTGGTTGGTTCACCATCACCATTCTGTCAGACTGTATATGGAAGTCCTATAGGATCTTGGCTCTGTCATTCTCCACAACCTTTGAACGTGTTTCCCAACTTGACCTTGGGATCTCCAGCCCATACTCTGCACAGATGTTTCTGTACACTATATATATCATAGTTTATAATAAGCCCAGTACTATCTGTAATGGTAAATAAATACCAAGTCATTCATTGCTTATGACCATACAGACCACCACCAATCAATGACTCACCACAAGCTACAATGTAACTTGCTTAAGGCCACAACAACAGCATGACCCATATTGTAGCTGGAATTGAACCACCACCGAGTCTATTATTGTCTGCTTTATTTCCATTATTATTTTGAAATCAGATTGTGGATACAGTTTTTCCTCTTGTCTCGTCTGACTTTACTCCATGCTTTACTCAAGCCCAAGCCCCACCCTGGAGAGGAGCTCTGCCCGGGCACGTCTCCTACGATCGGCTGCGGTCAGCTGGTCCCCCCTGCATCACCTCCAGCGGACCATGCGCTGGACACGCACAACACGTGCTGCTCGTGTCCAGCGATAATCCCTCATACCACTGAAAAGCGCTGGCACGTGAATTTGAAAGCGAATGCGCATCAGATTCAGAAAACCAACAACCGAGCAAAGAGAAAAAGATAATATAATTTTACTTGAGATGACGATAATGACAAGGCGTCTTAGTCTATCGTATGCTAGTAATAGGATAGGCTACTTTTAATCTAATGTGAGCCTGCAGGTCTATATAGCATAATATACTGATTACAGCAGCAGCGTGACTTTTAGGCAAGCAGACTTGGGGTGGACATTTATCGAGAACAATCTAGTAACCCCAATTTTTATACACACTACATTGCAAATGTACACATTTTCAGCCATAAAACTAAATTAGTAATTTTAGATTCGTAGTTGTGTCCTCTCCAGTCGGACTCTTGCTTGTAGTAGGTACAAAACGACATCTAGTGGTGCAAAATAATACTAGCCTACGTGATTAACAATGGCACTTGTACATGTCAAAAGGTAGCGTCCTTTTTTACTTCAGTTTTTGCTTGACACGCAAGAGACACCACTGTGCCATGTACAATGAATAATAATATCACATATACTAAACAGTAATTACATCCACTTTGATTATTTCTACCTTCTCACCAGAAAAGTTACATAGTGTAACTTTAAATAGTAAAACATCAACTTTCATTATTTCTACACCTCTAATGGCTGCAGTTTTTTTTTTTTCTAGAAGCCACTGAATGCTGCTGACACTGCGTTTCTGAGTCAAACAAAAGTCCTGATGTTGTCTCTCTCTCACACACAAAGAGGACCCGCCACTGCTAGTTTCACACTGGACACTTTTAGTTTTTATGAGTTTTCAGAACGATCACAATTGAACTGTTGATCTGAGTAAAGATTATGATGGGTGTGGAGGCCTGTGTTGGATTTAAAATTTAAATTGACTGAATGAAAGAGACCAAACAAAAGAATGAATAACTCAGAAGCTTCCAAGGTATGGCTCCATGCTCATGCTTAATGTGTAAAAAAACAAGTCTGACTTTGAAATTTCTTTTGCAGAAGTTTCTATTGCATGCAATGATTTATTCTATACCGTAATTGTAAAGTTTTAAAATTAGTTAAATTTAGGTTTAACATTATTAAACCTAAATTACTAATTAATTTAAACTGGTTTCCTTCTGAATCACTTTTGAATTAATTAATTCATATACACATTTTTCTGTTACTTTTAATAATTTTGGGGGGAAATGTGACTTGAATGCAGAGTAATTGTTAAAAATAAAAGTATTAACCTGTTGAATGAATAAATGAATGAATGAATGAATGTGCATTTTAATACATTTAAATGGAAAGAAAGAAAGATAGAAAGAAAGGTAATTTTAGGAACATGACATGGGTGTAGAAGTAATAATCTCTATTGGCAAATCTTGTCTTTTTTCCATGTATTTATTCATAGGTCATAATACCACAGTAAAAATCACCATGCACATTTGTTTACTGTGTTTGTAAATTTAGTCTTGCTCTGTCTTCTGTAAGCCTTTGTTTTTTTGTTTGTTTGTTTGTTATTTTAAAGCTATGTTCTTCACCTCCTGATGCTTTTTTCGTAGGACCAGGAGAGAAGAGGAGACCAGGTTGATGGAGCAGGAGTCAGTTCAAACCAAAAGAAGGGTGTGCAAATCACTGGGAGGTATGTAGTCCCTGTTATAATAACAAATGGGCCAACCATAGACACATTCATTTTCATATTATTATGTCTTAGTTAAAGCCACAGAATGTAACTTAGCCAAACATTTTTGTTTGGTTAAAAGTTACATACATATAAGTTTTGTCTTTTGGCTTTCCGTTAATTTATACAGGTTTCCTTCTAAATCACTTTTTGCTTAGTTCTCATTGCTGTTGTGACCTAAATAATCACAATTATCAATTAACCTTATTCTCTTGACATTCTCAGTTGACTATGACGATACACCTTTTGTTTTGTTTCCTTTCATAGAGTTGTGAATGATGAGCACAGGGCAGTTGAAACACCTGGGATAGAGGATGCTAGAGACACCAACACCAAAAACTTCCCAAAACAAACAATGGAGGAACTCAAGTCCATTCTTCGGGACAGTGCTGTGCGGGACAGAGAGGAGGGCAAAGCCAGAGGGGCGTACACTTACCTCCACAGTGGTAACGGTAACAGCAATGGAGGGGGTAGGGGACAAATGTTTTTTTTTCAGATTCTACAATGTGATGATGTCATACTGCCAGATGGGGGACTAGAGACATAAAGGTGTTATACTCTCAGATCTGTGGAAAGAGACAGTTTTCCCTTATTTAATTTACACTGAATTTACATGGGAAATATCTTAAAGAGTAAATCATAAATGTTGAACCTAATCATTTACATTTGTAACTAGACCTTTGAACTCACTATTTTACTACAAAACTTTCAATATTACTGGGCTATATAATGTTGTCATAATGCCATTTGTATCCCACAAATATGCCCATACCATCCGTCTTATATAAATGATAATATTACATTTTGTTTAAATTAACCCATTTCATCACACCGGTCACAATTGTGACCACCAAAAACTTGGCTATATGTGAAGCTCTAAATTTGTTACTGTGTACATTTTCAATGCATTTCCAGGATTTGTGTGTGTTGTGATGAAGTGCAACATCACATGTTTGCTGTAAATGGCCACATGACCACAGATGGTTATGTAAAAGTTACACCTTAAGGAGAAAACAATGCCCAGAATTCTCTCAAATAAATGGTAGAAAACTGTTTTAAATTTAACCCAGGACTTCATTTCTTTTACTGTAACTAAGAGATTGTCACTATATATTAGAACTTTGGTTCTGCTTTGTTATTGATTGGCCTGAGACTGTGAGGGGGAGATGTTCAACAGGTTGTTCCATACACCATACTGACCTGATGGAGTCAGACAAGTACACTGATTATGCCCACCACTATGCTATTCCCTCTCCATTACCCTCAGTTATTGAAAAGTGAAGGTAACTGAGCAGCTATAGGGACATGTCTGAAGAATATCCAAGATCATGTAGCTGCGTGAAACAAGTCTGAGGAACATCCAAAGTTCTCTAGAACCTACAGAGAGAAATTTGAAGAACATCCAGGGTCCTTTGGGACAAGTCTGAAGAAGAAAGAGAGAAAAGAAGAAACAAGGCTGAGCAACATATAAAGTCCTCTATGTATAATGGGGACAAGTCTGAGCAACATACTAAGTCCTCTAGAACCTAGAGAGAAATGTGAAGAACATCCATGTCCTCTAGCTGCACAATGGACATGTCTGAAGAAGATCCAAAGCCCTCTAGTAGTTATAGAAACAAATCCGAGGAACATCCAAAGCCCTCTAGAAGCAATAGAGAGAAATCTGAAGAACATCTAGGGTCCTTCAGCTGCTAATGTTACAAGTCTGAGGAACATCCAAAATCCACTACCTGCTCTTGAGACAAGTCTGATGAACAACTTAGGTCCTCTGCCTGCTATAGAAACAAGTCTGAGGAACATCCAAAGACCTCTGGAAGAGAGAAATCACTAGAACATTTAGGGTAGCTACTATTGGGACAAGTCTGGGAACATCCAAGTACCTATACCTGCTATTGGGATAAGTCAAAAGAACATCCAAGGTCCTCTAGCTGTTACTATTCAAGTCTTCTAAAGACCTCTAGTTGCTATTGGGACAAGTCTGAAGAACATCCAAGGTTCTTTCAGAAGTAATTATACCCCATCTACCCCTCAAGTTAGAACAGCATCTTCCTCATTTTGAGGAATAGCACTTTATTATATAAATAGAAAAATCGTTTTTATGTTAAAATGCCATTAAAAATAAATCAAGTCAAAACAGAGAGTATTTTTACATTAAATTGATCAAAGATCTCTTATGGCAGCTTTAATTCACAATACAAAGTATTAGCCCACTGGTCACAATTGTGACCAACCATAATACTCACTTTTTTACACACTTTTTGACAATTTCCATAAAAAATAATACTTGACCATCAAGCACTACAAATGGCACATTAATTTCATAATGGCATCTTTGGGAAAAAAAAAAAAAAAAAAAAGGCATAAATGGGTTAATTATAACATCATCAAATTCTTTCTCTAGAACATGAACGCAGCCTGTTCAGTGATAACAGAAACAACCCTCAGGGGGAGTTCAGCACCTTCAGACCCCAGCAGGAGGCTTCCAGAAGAGGGGGGCGTGACAGAGACAGTGCCCCCATAGAAGTACTGCCCCAGTCCAGGGTAGATCCATCCAGCGCATTCAGGCCAGAGCTCCACTCAGACAGAGGAAGAGCAGAGCAGGCACAACACAGCAGAACATGCCACAGAGAGCATCGTCAACACACAGGTCGGTCAAACAATTTCAAACTATTTTACATTTAATTTAAGATATTTGAGAAGTTGAATTTCACGATGTTCAGCCATCACTAAAAAAATGGCAAGTTTATGGCTTTGATGGCTTTATGATTTGTTATTTTCTGGTATATGTATTTATGTATACCCCCCCCACACACACACATTTTGTAATTGATGACAAATTTATATATTTCTATACATTTGTATTTTTAATATAACATTTTGTAATAAAATAAATATGGCTGCATGCGAGGAAAATAGAAAAACACTAATCAGATCTCTTGTTTATAAATGATAGGTGACCAGTGAGCTCTTAAGTTTCACATGCGTTAGTCAAAATAAAATTAGACTTAGTACAATCATGTTTGGTTCTGGATCGAGATGCAACGGAAGAAGTGGAGACCAGACAGATATTCTGGATTTGCCAATCAGTTCATATTCTGTTCTATTCATATTTAGGAGAAAATGAAGATGATGTGTATTCAGATATATTGACAGATATTTTGTCCATAGATCCCAGACTAATAAACTCAGAGACGGTTGGAGACCAGCGCTTCATCTCATCGATGGAGAAGATAAAGCAGCAGATTGCACGAGAAAACATCACCTTTGTCCGCTTTGAGGCCACAGACCTCCATGGAGTGTCCCGTTCTAAAACGGTCCCTGTGCGCTTCTTTCACGTAAGTAACACTTCATTAATCACTTTTATAGCTTTAATATGCAAATGTTTCACTGTTTCACTTTTTCTGTTGTGATTAATGAGTGAGTGCTTGTGCTGTTTTATGTCCGATATGATTTACCAGGTAAAATATTTAATAAATACAATAATAAAAAGATCTGTATTTACATTTGCTGTACAGTTTGTCAGCCACACTCTGGCTCTCTCTGGGGCAAAGTCGCTTATGTCACTGTGATCAGTTATAGGAAAATGTAGGGTATACTATTATCTACTTGTTACTTGTTAGCTCCGCTTTGGGTCTCTACTTTGCACAGCTGGTAAAAGAGCCCATAATGGAAAGGCTAAGGTGGCTAGTGGTTCAGCTGCTGTGGTGGAGGGTCCCTATCTAACTCCCTTGAAATGTAATTTCGAGTTAAACGTGATGGCTGTGGTTGGCTGACAAGAACAGCCTGGAGATTGGAGGCTGGATCAGTTAAGCAAAGATGGACTTTCAGCATGCCATATTAAACATCCTGTTGTTTGCCAACAGGAGAAAGCAGTGTATGGAGTCCCAATGCCAAGGAGCTACCTGGAGCTGACCCTGAGCCCAAAGAGCAACGAAGTTGACCATGGCACAACCGCTAACTTCAGCAGCGATGTTCTGCTTATACCGGACCTCTCCACATTTAGGGCGGTACCATGGACCGAACAAACTGCCCGCGTCATCTGTGACCCCTGCACTGTGTCAGGAAACCCCCTACGTACCTCGCCACGCCTCATCGCTAAACAACTCCTGGGACAGCTCCAAAGCATGGGATTTTCTCTGCACTCCTCCTTCACCTACGAATGCTGCGTTTTGGGCACTCCTGATCGCATTGGTCCAAAAACGTTACTATTTCCCGCTACTACTCTCCTTAGCAATCATGACTTACCATTTTTCCAGCAACTAGTGGATAGTATGTACTGCATGGGAGCTGATATTGATAGCATGGCGTCTGCTAGCGGACCAGGGCAAATGGAGATCAATTTGAGACCAGAATTTGGGATTTCCGCAGCAGATAGCGCATTTACATTTCGCACCGGTATCAAAGAAATGGCTCGTAAACATAGCTATATTGCTAGCTTCTTCACTGATGATGGGTTGTACAATGCTGGGGTGCTTTCTCACAGCTTGTGGGATGCTAACGGGCAACGTAGCCTCTTTCACATTGGGGACAAGCCGGAGGAACTATCCGAAATCGGTCGCAAATGGTTAGCTGGTTTGCTAATTCACTCCGCAGCATTGAGTTGTCTTATGTCCCCCGGTCTTGGTTGCAGAAGTCACATGGCAAAAACTACCAAAGATCCCAAACGCATGCTATACGCTACATGTGGGTGCAATGATAACAGTACTTCCTTCAATATTAAAAGTCACGGAGGAAGAGAAACGCACATCGACAACAAACTAGGTTCAGCTATGGCTAACCCGTACATTGTGCTAGCTGCTACTGTTGCCGCAGGATTGGATGGAATAAGGAGGAATCTAAACTTGGAGAATGGACTGGTCAAGGCTCCAGGGCAGCAAAAAGAGTTTGCGATTCCCATAAAACTGGATGAAGCATTGGAAGCTTTGGCTGAAGACCATGTGATCTGCAGTGCACTGGGAGAGCCGTTTGTTCAGTACTTCATTGCCATGAAGAAATTTGAGATAGAGACCCAAGAACTTGACGATGAAAGGAACAAATGTCTTGAGTACTTTATTTAAATCTGTTAGCAACTGAGTGGACAATATTTACTCAATATTGTGATCATTTAATTATTAAAAGGCTTTGTACCTAATTTTGTATCATGACAGAGCAACGTGATCCCATTTGAACTTTTAGCCCATTTAATATCTTCTCAGTTTTACCGGCATTAAACTTTTCTCAAAACCTCTTCTCAACTTGACTTTGAATGATGACAGAAGATCCATCCCCCCATATCTGCATCATATTTCTTTGCTTTTGCGGTTTGTGTGTGTGTTTACATATTTTATGGAATTTTAATGTTATACTTATTTTTCATATGTTTTAATTATTTGAACATTTGTGATAAAGAGCTGAATGTGAATTTCTCCCTTGGCCACAAGAATGAAGCACATGGACTGGAGGACTTTAAGAGTTCAATTATATTGTTTTACATTCTATACATTTAAAAACATTAGTTTTGTGACATTTGAGGTGTTTAAATAAAGACAGGATTTTTGCTGAATGTATTCCATTCTGTTTCTATATACTTTATATACACACACACACACACACACACACACACACACATATATATAATGTTACCACAACCACAGATAAATAATATGAATGAATGGACATTAAGGCAATACTCTGTTTAAAAGAATAATAGAAAAAACAACAATAGTTCTTCATTACACCTCAGGTCATTTCAAACCATCTATTTGTACACATTTTACATAAATATATTTACTCTACCTAACTTACCCAAGCTGTGAGCAATGACAGTCAGAAACATAATTGAAAACTAACTCTCAGTAGAAAAAGAAATATTGTTGTCTATTAGACAAATTGGTCGTTTTACCATATGAACAACCCTGATGAAACTATATCTGTGGAGAGGGTCCACAGATGTGTCCAGGGCCACTGGAAGTCCCTTTAAACAAGGGGTGCCGTGCTAGCTAGGTAGCAAGCGGGAAACCTGACGCTGACAATGTAACTTCTGTAAACTTGAATGTTTAGGCCTAAACATAATTAAACTAAATATACATAATAAACTACATGTGTCAAAATCACTTCCTAAAATATTCATAAGGAATTTATAAATTGTGCAAAATATTTTAATACATAAAAAAAAAAATCTTCCTCTTGCCACTAGGGGTTGCTACAGCACCCCTGCTTCCCGCGGCCCTGGATGTGACCGTTGTTCAGTGCATTTCTACACTGTCTCTTTTACGGCAGACAATATACTAAGTATATAAATCGATAGGACTTTAGGGTTGACTTCCACTGCCTTGAAGATCGGCTGGTTGGGCATCACTGCTGAAGCATCAAGCAAAAGAATTCAATATAGCTAAATGTCAGTGGCACAGTGGGTTGGGTATTTGCTCACAAACCAGGGGCTAGTCAGTTGTTTTATTTATCTAGGAAAAACACTGGGTGGATGATTGCAACAGAAGGGTCATCTAAAGTAAAAACAGTCCAATCACAGTGCTGGTAAACAACCTCCTCTATTTTCTTGAGTTCTTGAGAAAAGAAAAACACATTTCATTTCACTTGCTTTTGTTCCCAATAAAATTACCCATTTTTTGCATGAAACGTCCAATCTTGTTATTTTCCCCTGCATTTTGAGTCTGTCCGTGTGTGTGAGGACTGCCATCACTCCTCCTGTTCAGTGTTGCGCTCCTTTCACTGTCTGTGCTTAAAACTCTTCTTGAACTACTGTCTTCTCGCTCAAGCAAATACTCATATCGACTGTACGCCTTCTCCTTTCTGGCCTCATATGACGTTGTTGCTTCATCGTTCAGAGCATTTCGAGACCCTTTCTCACTATCAGTTTTTCTTTTGCTTAAACGTTGAGGAGATAATCGACTGAATGGTGATTTTGTTTTCTCTTCCATAGGCGATGTTGCTGATTTTGGAGACTTTTTAGGCGTTTGATCTTGCTTTCCGATCGTAGACCCCACTGAACTTTCTGTTCTCAGTGATAAGTTTGATCCGGACATTTTTTGCAACTTCAACGAGGATTTTCTCGGCAATGAATCTTTCTTTCCTGGTTTCTTGTCATCTGTTGAAGAGCCTTTGGACTTAATAGATGTTTTTCTTTGTAAACTTGATGTGTCTTGCTGCTTTGCTTCACCTTTTGATTTGGATTCTGGAGTTGTTTTCTTTGGTCCATTCTCTACTTCCTTCTGCACCAATTTCTTGCTTTCTTTTGCTACTCCAGAATTCAAAGCATCCGCCATTTTGCCTGCAGACCCCTTTCGTTCTTTCACTACATCTTTTCTGTCTTGCACTACATCTTTTCTCTCTTGAAAACTTACAACTTTTTCTTCTTTTTTAGTCTGTTCCTCATTTTGTGGTGCCAAATCTGAACTATTAACACGACTAACTCCTTCTTTCTCTTCTGGGATTTCCGTCAATGATTCCATGTGTCTTTGGTGTTTCGGACCTAGCCCTAACTTTCCAATTGAATCATTTAATTTCACATCTAGATCCGTGGCTGATCTTGACATAGCCTCATGCCAATCGTACGTCAACATCTTTCTCTCTGCCATACTTTTAAAATCATTTTGCGATATAGATCTTTTTCCATCTGGAAGAACCCGGTCACCTTCTTTTTTGTGATCACTTTGGTGTGCTAGAGCCTCCAACTCTGCTGCACTTTGCCGTAACTCCATGCCCCTTGACACATGCTTCGGTTTTGGTCTTTCTTGCGTTAAATACATGTTCCTTAACGACTCCTGACTTTGCTGTAAATTAGCGTATTCTTGCAGGCTCAACCTCTTTTGACGTAATTCTTCCATTCTTTGCCTAATGTCTTTCGATCTTAAGTGGACACCTTGGGGTTGCGGTTCATTTAACCCATTGTAACTGCTATAAGGTGACCCGAGTGGTGACAGAGCTTCGTATGATGCATCTAGAGGTCCATTCAAGTACGCATCCATTTTCCACTTGTTTAGGGATGTTTCTGAATTGAAAGGAATTAAATTATGGTCCGCGCCATATCGTGATTGGTGCCTTAAATGTTGTCTGTTTTGTAACTCATTTGATCTCAATGTATTTCCATATCTTTCTTGTCCGATATCTTTAGTCCCCATTCTTAAGCGTGTCATTGAGTTAAACTTTTGAAGATCTCCTCCGTAGCTGTGTCCCCTTACAAGATTACCCATTTCCGGGAAGTGGTGCAGCCTGTCTTGCATGCTAACACCTCTTGTTAGCATGTTGTTATTGTTTGCAAAGCCGTTGATAGCTTTGTTTTTCATGTGGAGTTGATGCAGAGAGAGCTGGCTGGAGGAGGGGCTGTGCAGGTAGTGGGCTGGGTGCAGTTTTTCATGGGACAGGAGCGGTGGGACAGTGGAGCGGGCGTAGAGGCGTCTGAACTCCTCGTCGTAAGAAGAGACTAGCTGACCGGTGATGACCAGGACCATGCTCAAGTTCAGCTTCTCAAAAGTCCATGTGTAGCTATGCAAAAAGATACAGTATATGCTAGATTTAATTACCAAAATTACAAAACAGACTAAACAAAACATGTAATATGACAAAACTAAGTGGACTATTTTATGTGAAGCAAAATCCATAGTAACAATTAACCAATAACCATAAACTTGAAAAACATTCCCTTTGTTTTTACCTCTGGTTGGTCACATGCTACTCTTCAATCACAGACAACTACTTTAAGATAAAAGTAGTTCCAAAATGGAAAATGGAACTACTTTTATCTTTTAGCCAATCATCTTACAGATTATTTTTTACAAAGGCACTCTCTTTTAGAATTTCAGCTAGAGTTGTGATATTGATCTCAACTACAGGTGGTGCCACCTTCTTGTCTCCATAGATGGATTTAATGCCATACTGTGGAAATTGCACCTTAAAATAAATGAATATAGGAGAATATGCAGTATATATTATAATGTAAATTTTTTCAACAGTAATTAAGAAACCTTTGTAAAAGTTTTGTATAAATGTAATATATATGTCTTCTCACCTGTAAGTCCCGTAGAGCACAGTTCTGCAGTCAATGAGTATAAACTTCTGTTCCAGAGCACCATTAAACTTCATAGAGGACTGACACTGGTACTGCAGCCCCTGCACTGTTCGCACTCGAATGGTCTGAAACAATTAAAGCAAGCATGTCAAAGCAGCACATAGAGATCAGAGCACAGTAAAATAAAGATCTTTCAGCACAATGTACTAGAGAGCATTATGGGGAACAATGGGGATCAGCATGGCTAAGATGTGAGACAGGTGTCTGCAATAGTGTGCTTTGCATACTTACTTAGCCTACTTTGTGTATGTTGCTCTGCAAATAAACCTACTTTGCCTGTTAGTGGTTATGCATGTAATAAAGCACATACATGTAATTTATGGGACAGTGTGTCAGGTGTGAGCTGTCCTCACAGAGAAGTCCATCCGCCCAAAAGCTGTTTTTATAAAGGAATGGCAAAGTCTCTCTGCTTTAGCTCATGTGCCAACACTGTCCATAAGTATAATATATGGAGATGTTATTGCATTGCCTAATGTTCCACAGTATCACATTCAGCATTACATTTGTTTAATTACATTATTACTGTGAGTTGGGTCTCCTCTTTACAGATCTATCCTGTAGCTTGGCCTCGCTGCATCACTAGTTTATAGACTGATTTAATGCCATAATGTGGAACATTCTAGACAAGTAATAGCACTTCCATGGAGACAAACTGGTGGTGGACCCTTTAGAAAAGTTACATATTGCATCTTTAACTTATACATCTTTAGATTAAGATTCTTAACGTTCCACGTATGACTTCTTGACAGTAAAAATGTGCACTGTTGAGTTTGTAACGGGTTCCAAAGCATTAGTCACATACCAGGACTAAAATTATGACAGTGAAATGTGTTGACTAATAGTTCAAGGATTTGAAAGCTAAACCCAACTCAACAAAGACTTCAAAACACACCAGAGCACAGGTAGAGACATGTGCTTCATGTTTAATGTTGTATTTTGTCATTATTTTAAAAGTGTCTGCAGTTGTTTTCCGATGCAGTTGAACTTGAAAATCCGGCCTCGTTGTGTCTAACGTGAGCTGGTGTTTGGTGCCTGTGAGGAATGTTTAAAGCAGGAGCGGTGTGGACAATGTTAATCCTTCGAACACTTGTGCCAACAGAAGAAAAGGTCTAACTAACAAAACTGTGACTGAAGCATCATCTTTAATTAATCCATGTCTGACATTGACAGACAGTGAGACAGTGGCTTTATGTCAAGTGGGATAGGATAGGATTGTCACGATATCAGATTTTAGTGTGAGACAAAACTGGCATTTAGCATTTACACTTAGGTTTACCTTTGTAGACTATATATTGATTGGAAATGATATATTTGTCATGATTATTATATTTTATTTCTTACAATTATAGTGATCCAAATAATCACGATTATTAATCAGTCTAATAATTTGAGGAATAACATTTACTTGTCTGGATGTAATTGCTGCGCCACAACAGAGCATTAAACTTACTATGGTTACAATAGTAGTGTAGAGTGAATAAATAATGTAGAGAATTGTAAAGCAACTTTGAACATCTTGAAAAGCTATATATAAAACTAATACAATATTATTATTAAAGATCTTTGGAGAGGCAACCCGCTCACAGTAAGATTGCATGTTTTTATGGTATTTTTCATAAAAACACCTATAATGGAATGAATGCAAGGTGGATAAGTTGAATGCCCTAGTGTGTAACCTTCCAAGCAAGGCAATAACATCTTCAAGGATACATAGCTACATATAATTAGGCAGTCTCTTTTCCTGGAGTTGTGTTCAGTTTTACTCAGGCATGCCTGAGTCGACCCTAGGTCTGCAGTTTTAGTCCATCCTTCCCCTCCTCAGAATGTCTGGTTCCTCTTCCCACCTCAGTGCCCATTTACCCCCTACAGTATTAGGACAAATTGTGTGTATTTTACCTTGATCTCGCTGAGGCTGACCCCGAGTTTCTGGGACATGTTCAGGAAGCTGCTGAAGTTGGTTTGGTCCAAAAGAAGGTATACCACCACCCCCCTCAGAGCGGCGCAAATGAGCTCCTTAAATATGTCCACATCAGTGAAGACGTCCATCGACAACGCGATCAGCTGCAAACCCAAAATACAAAATGGAAAATATATTGGTTTAGTTATAGAGATTTTAAGAATGGCATGTTACATTCCCATATGTATTCCATTGTTGGTTTGATCGTATATTTGATAGACAATCGTAAAATAACTGTTTGCATTTTTCCCACACATTTCCAGCAGTAGGGATAATGCTTTTTATGAACACAAATGAAATATGTATCAGTTTTTATGTGTTATTCTGAGTTATAGCAATGTCTTGACTTGACTTGATAGTATTTATCATTTTATATATATATATGTGTGTGTGTGTATATATATATATATTTTTTTTACCTGTAGGTGATACAACAAGAGCTGGGATACTCCCTGCATAATATTTTCACCAATCACAACCATTACTATTGTAATCAATGGGAGTTACCGTCACTGGAGTGGGCAGTGGTGCTAATGTCTCTCTGTTGTTCTTTATAATTACATGGCGTGGTTGGGATGACGTTACCTTGTTGCTATTTCAGAGTACAATGCGGTTTGAATATTGTTCCCTCTACCAGGAATCAGTAGGGAACAGGCTGACATCAAAATTTTACACTAAACCAGGGTTATAAAGGGACCAAATCAGATCTACATTGCTAAACTAAAGCACACACGCACACAAAATAACCAAAATAGGACTAAACCTGGATGAAACCAAAACGTAAATGTTAACCTCAACCCCTCCTTTGACACTAAATAAGTAAATTATTAAAGAACGGAGGAGCATGTTGGTGGACCATTACAGCGGGAGTGCTCCAGGCAAAAGTACAACTGCTGTTTGTTTGGGTTTGGCTTCCTGATAACATCACTACAGCAACATGAGTATAACGCACTGTATATATCACACACAGACGAGTCAATGTACTGGACGAAGACTTATTTTCATACATAATGACGACTGCAGACTGGGAACACAAGAGCCTCAGGAGCTGCTCTCTAAAACAGGACTAAAACAGGTTTACGAGTAAAGCAGATCTAAGCCCGGGACTAAAGCAGGTCTAATCCCAGGACTAAACCAGGTCTAAATCCAGGACTAAACCAGGTCTAAATCCAGGACTAAACCCTGGACTAAACCAAGTCTAAAGCAGGTCTAAACCAGGACTAAAGCAGGTGTAATCCCAAAACTAAACCAGGTCTAAACCCAGGAGTAAACTAGGCCTAAAGCAGATCTAAACCAGGACTAAAGCAGGTAAACCAAGGACTAAACCAAGTCTAAACTCAGGACTAAACCAGGCCTAAAGCAGGTTTTAGCCAGGAATAAACCAGGCCTAAAGCAGGTCTAAACCAGGACTAAAGCAGGTCTAATCCCAGGAGCACATTTTATAAACTGTAACACTGCTCCACAGCAAAAACATTTAAAACAAACAAATAAACAAATGCTCTACCAGTGCTCATAAAAATTATAATAAAATCACAAAACAATAAATAGAAGCTAAGAACCATAAATAATATAATACCAGTTAAAAATAATAAATAAAAAAAAAAAGAGTAAATCCCTTGTTTTTGTACCTGTTTGTAATGTTTTTTGCTGCCATAAAAGGTTTGATCTATGGATCTCTTCTTTAGAAACACAAAGACTGCAAGGCATTAATCAGCTAACTCCACACCTGCCAATCTACGCCATCAGTCATTCATGCACACAACATATTCACACAAGAGTAAGGAGGGTGAAGTATCTTGCCTAAGGACACAACCACAATTTGTGTCTTAGCGGTTTTCTAACACCAAATTATGATAACCTGCTATATCTGAATGGCTGGCCTTTACAGATAGTTTATTTAAAAGCATTAAAGTCACTGAATGTACCTATTATTGTGGCCGGGTGCTGACACAGACAGTAATATTACTGGCCTACATACAGAAGACAATTATCGGGCAGATTCAAACTTGTAATTTTGCATTTTTAGAGAAATCTTCCATGACACTTTTAACACAGTAAAGTCTTCAGAAATATGCCCCGGTTTTACTTTTTTCACGGATAATGTAAGGCCTGAGGTGCTGCATTTCTCAACTTGTATCTGCACTAGAAAATCACAGGAGTCATTTGTTTTAGACAGTAAAGCATGACAATTATACATTCATTAAATATGTAGACATGATGATGGATAAACTGGTATTTTTTTTCAAGATTTTACAACATTTGAATTAATGGTTTAAACAGGGAATGATATTTCAATGTACACAGCCAAATCAGTAATTCTCCAGCAAGCTTTGTCGATGCCCAGTCTCGTCAGATCTCAGAGGCTTAGCAGGGTTAGGCCTGGTTAGTGCTTGCAGATTGGCAGCTTCACCTCCATAAGTCTAGGGCAGTACCTTACCACCACAGAGTGAGTGAAAAATACACAAGAATTTTAAACCAACTTTGAGTGTCTGGAAAGACTAATTACTATGTGACCTATCTCTCTGACTGAAAATCATCAAGTCACAATCCATATTAGGATATTTTCTGACCTGTAAAAAATTTTTTCTTCATCTTACAAATACCTAGACTCGTGTTTTGTTTCATTCACACATGTTTAACACACAAACCCTGCATGTTCTGGTTAAGTTCTTCTCTCAAACAGAAAACACCTTGTTCCACCTTGTGATATCATGTGGCAATACAGAAAGTGCTCCACTGTGTTTTTAATACACTTTCATTAGAATAATTTGGATAATTTTCAGATCTGGAATTGCCAATCTCTGAACTAAAGGTAAAAGGTTAACCTGAAAAACTACCACTTCATGACATCACAAGGTGGAACAGAGCATTTTGAGCTTTGGAGATGTAGTCAGACTATTAAAGCGTTACTCAAACCTGTGAATGAAGCAAAACAAACCTGAGAAGGTAACTTTTTAGTGAGTTACACTAAAAGTTACATGATGGGGCTTTAAATGACTCACATATTAATGCACAGTTTTCCCACTTTTACAACTATTTGCGGTGGTTGCCCTACTCCTGTCTCTGACGCAGATAAATGGGTCAAATGAAGGAGACAAATATACAGCTTGGCGTGGAGTACATAGGTGGTGGTCACATTTTTATATAGCGTTCTTCCACCTTCAAGGTACTCAAAGAGCTTTACATCAAGGACCCACTCACCCGTTCACTCACACATTCACACACCAGTGTACGCAGACACTGGGGGCGAGGTGGCTTAAGTATCTTGCCCAAAGACACTACAACAGCATTCATAGGTGGGAGCTGGAATTACACGTCCAACTTTCAGATCAGTAGACAAACAGTATCAACTGAGCTACTGTCGCCCAGTAGCTTCAGAAGAACACAGAAAGACTCCATATGGTCAGGGGATGGAACCAGCAACCTTGTATCAGTGACATTACTCTGCATAACCCCTCCTTTCTCACCTGCCTGGCCTCTTGTATCTGTTTGCGCACCACTTCCTTGATACTGGGCGTGTCTTGTCTGGGTGGGTTGAAAAGTACACTTATACTCGTGTCTGTCTCTTCTAGTGAGATCTCAGGCCATCCCAAATCCAGGTCTGGCACCACTTCATCGGACTCTGTGGGGAAGTACGTGGACACCCCATTCTCCTCCGGGGCCACTCCTTTAACATCCCCCTCCTCCTCAATCAGAGGAAGTTCCGCATTTTCCAAAATAAAAGCTATTTCCTGTTCGGATAGGAAGTGGTTGATTTGCTCCGCTCGTAAGAACTCCTCATAGGCCTCTGTACCCCCACACAGGAGGGCGTAGATAGCCAATCGGTAGGCTTCTTTATAATGGGGCGGGATGTACAGAGGAGGGCTGTCATCTTTGAGTGAAGACAGACCGGATAGACTGGAATCCATTTGTGATGACTTTAGACTTTAGCTGCAGAGAAAAGGAGAGACAAGTTCAGGTACTGGCAAAGCACTTCTCGAAAATACTAATTAGTTCCGACTGAAGACATATGCAAGGCTTCGGGACTAAAGGAATATTAGTGAAACCTTTATTCGATTTGAAAATATTTTGAAACGTTAATTTTACAAATCTATAATAAAATAGACCACAGCAGTAGAATTAACAGCCTCCTCAACCTCCCCATATCCTCAACTCCACCGCCAGTGTCTAAATCCCTATCTATTATACTTCATCTCTGACCTCTCTATCTAACTGCATCTAATCAGCGGTATTTATCCAATCCAAAATAAACAAACAAGTGCATAAACAAATAAATAAAAAATAAATCAATACAGCTTTAAAACTGATTTTTCAGTCAGAAAAATACTTTAATAGAAACAGGCCAAAATTAAAGGGACAGTTTGGAATTTTGGACATAGGACCTCATTTCCTAGTGAGCCAGAGTGTTGGAGACATGTGGAGACACTTTTTAAAATATTCCACCCAGTCCTTGTATTTGCAGAGGTCACTGGTGCTAGGCTAGTGCATGTCAATGGCCATAGTTAGCCTGCCATTAAAAACAGTCTTGCCCACTCCACAAAACACCCGAAACAAATCTATTATTACACCAGACTGTGATGTAAATGTCTGTGTCAATAGAATAATTTTAGAAGTAAAAACAACCTTGCATTTGAAGGATTTATGTCTGAGGACTGATATATGAGAAAATAGTCTCGCAACATGCGATGATTCATGCGATGCAAGGTTAGTTTTATTTCAAACATTACTCTATCGACACAGACATTTACATCAACAGTCTGGCGTAATAATAGATTTGCTTCAGGTGCTTTGTGGAGTGGGTAAGACTGTTTTTAGTGTCAGGCTAACTATGGTCAGTGACATGCGCTAGCCTTGCACCAGCGACCTCTGCAAATACAAGGACTGGATTGAATATTTAAACCTTTAAGAACATTATTATCCCCCCTCCTCTCTTTTCCCATTCATATTTTCTCTATCTCCTCTGTCTTGTCTTGCACATTTCTTGACTGGAGCTCTAGCCGTGAGTTTCATTTGAGGCGTCAGTGCGTTTACATATGTTAAACAAAACCAGTCAGTCCAGTGTGAATCAGCTCAGTCAATAACTCAGAGGCATGTTCTCACTGTCTCCACTAATAGAATACAACTCCACCGGAAACTGTGTGAAACCAAACTCAGCTAATTATGCTTTTCTCAAATCATACCTATTATATAGTAATACCATTAATCTGGGAAAACTTTGTAAGAATGAAGCTATGTTCAAGTGTAGCTTTAATGGTATAACTATGGTATAAACATACCTATATTTGCTAATATCAAAATACAGGGGCTTTCACTGCCAAACAATCCATGGATTTCTGAATAATATAAAATTTAAGATGGTAGCCATAACAATTAAAAACTTAAAACATAATATTATGTGTTTTGAAGTCCTCCAAATGTTGTATAAAACAAGCTGAAACCCACTGTAAACACACAGAGTGCACCTTTAATGTATCTTAAAAAACAAACAAACAAATAAATAAATAATGAAAAATAATGACGTAACTCCTGAAGATGTGAGACAGGTCTCTACTCGTTCTAATTTGGACAAAACTTCTTTTTAAAAGGGTAAGTTTGAAAGTGGAGAACTCAAAACTTTTCTTGTCTGATGCATATGCTTTGCAGAAGTGTTACAAAATTGCATTCAACTGTGCAATCTCAATGGAGAAAAGCATTTTTCACATTTCAGACACCTCCATAAAACAAGCAGGTAACTTCTTTATTTAATTTGCACTCATACCTTTTAAAATTTGATTATAATTATGTTTTTCTTACTTAATTATGATTATGTCTTTCTTTCTTTTTTTTTTTTCTGTTTTATAGACTAGAACCAGGTAAGAAGGGTACTTTACATTCAATATAGTTCAATAAGTTGTATGTTATTTTTAGAACAAAGTTCAGAATGTGTTAATTTAAAAACTACACCAAAATATCTTACAGTACGCTCTCATATAGGGTTACTATATTCAGAGTATTCTTGTTGACACATTTTGGCTACACATGTGTTCAGTCATCTACCTTAGTGTTGCAGAATGAACAGCAACTTACTCTTGACTTTTAACTTCCAACTACATATTACACCCACACACATAAACCCACCATTTGAGAAGCCTAATTTTAAAATGTATAAATTGTAAATGTAAATAAAAGCATACCTCATTGCTGCAGACCTGTCAGAGCGGTCTTGTGTGAAAAGCTCTGAGGCGTGGAGCGATCTGTGAGACTCTCAAGTGTTTGCTGTACCTATCTCGAGCTCCGCCCACTGCAGAATCAAGCTCCACCCACCTGCTCTCACCTGGAGCTGCAAGTTTGTCTGCCATTAATTGAGGGGATATATTAGTGATTACAGATTAAATATTATCAATTAACATATATGACTATTTTGAAAATAATGTGTAATTGCACTAGCAATGACAGATTTTCATTTACTATTTTTATTTCTGAAAAAAGCAATAGTGAAAATCCTCCAGTTAAAATAGTCCTGACCAAGACTAGCTCTGATCAAGTCAAGATCTGCAGATGGGTCCCCACTACTCCGGGTTGCACTAGCGACATTAAAGGATATGGGGTCAAGTGCAAAGGACAAATTTTTGGGACAAAAAAGTGTACCTTAACCTTTTTTGAACCCTACACGTATGACCAATGTTCACATCGTTCAAATATTCTCAAGATAAATATTCTGTGGGCGGACAACAAAGTATTAAACAAACAATCTTATTACAACTTTGATCAAGCTTAAAATAAGGAGAAACCAATATAACATGGATAAAAGCACTTCAAAGTTGTTTTTGCATAATGTCTCCTTTCACTTAAAAAAAAAACTAAAAAAACATATATATAACACAAATATATATATATATATATATATATATATATATATATATATATATATATATATATATATATATATATATATATATATATACACATACACTTATTTTATTTATAGGCCATTTGTCTCCACACAGAAAGGACAGTTAGACCAGGGAGGTTGACATGTGACATTTATTGTCATCACAAGCTTCAAACACATGTGAGCAGTGTTAGAACCAGGATTAAAATTCACCTTTATTTTCCCCAAAACTATCCTTACAACCTCAATATAATAAGACATACCTCCCCTATGTAAATTTATTGCAACTATGGCCTCAAGAAATATATGTGAACTTTCCATATATTTTATCAATAACTTTAAGTGTTTAAGTGTTACATACTTATTATGTAAATTAAATATGATAAATAAGCATTCCACTTAGTTTTGTGGAAGGTATAACTTTTAATTTCTATATATTGTAAGTAAGTTTCATTTTAGCTGTTTCCATTGAACAGCCACTTCACATGTGATGCTATCAACACAACCTTGGCTACACATATTTTTATGAAGACATTTTGGTGATTTGGTCTAGGCTGCAAGAAAACAAATAGAATGGTTATCATTTAACTAAGGCTGATGGTTCAAAAGCTACTTTAATCTACTTCAATGGACAAGTTGTCACTGTAATTGACTGGTAACAAAAGAAATCAAGCAAACAAGCATCAAGCCATCACTAATAATATAATAATTTTTGCTGGAACACTGAACAGTGTCTATTTATTTATATCTATCCTGAAATTTATATTTTATTGTTGCTCAAAAAGCTAAAATCTTTGCTTACCACCAACTCTATTTTGCTTATGTAAACAAAACTACACACTAAAAAAATGCAAATTCAATAAATATCGTCATAAAAATATCCATGTAACCAAGGCTTAAGTTCAGATCCCTCTTAAAGTCCTTTTTTCTCTCTTGTTATATGGTCCAGTGCTTTAAACCAACAACCTGGACTAAAAACCTCATCTACGTCTAAGCATCAAACTCCACACTGCACACATTGCCGGTCTGGACTACAGCAGATCTCAGACTGGTTTAGGGCTCGGTCTACTTCCTGGGAGGGGTTGGGGACTTCATGAAACGTGGTGGAGTGGGTGACTTGACTCCACGGGACGGGGTAGGGGTTGGTGATTTGGGGGTGGGGGTTGGAGACTTCGGGGTGGGGGTTGGTGATTTGGGTGCAGGTGTAGAGGCAGGAGTAGAAGCAGGTGTAGGGCTCCTCATGGAGGGTGCGGGAGTGGGGCTCTTGACAGAGGGTGCGGGGGTCTGGGGTTTGGAAGGTGTCGGGGTGGGCGTCTTGGAGGGAGGGACGGGTGTAGAAGCAGGTGTAGCAGCAGGTGTGGATGTTGGTTTGGCTTGCCCCACTCTGGGCTCTGGGAGCTGCTCGCCGTGCCTGTAGACGCTCACGGTGATCTCCACAAACTCGCCACCATATTTGTTTCGGACGTTGATGCTGTACTTGCCGGAGTCTTCGGGCGTGACTTTGTTGATGACCAAACTGGCGAATTTGCCCCCGTCGAAAGTGACCTTGGTGTGCTCAGTGCAGGCCACTTCCTGCTCATTCTTGAACCATGTGACCTCAGGAGTTGGGTCGCCCCAAACAGTGCAGGTCAGGCTCAGGGACTGGAGAGCACAACAGGAGAGACACAAAGTTAACATTTAAAAAGGCTGTATGTGACATTTTTCATTTAATAAAGTAAAATATGTACTGTGTGCATCTCTTTCTTCTGTGAAAGAGGAAGTAACAGCTGTTAGCATATTGGTCTCTGAGAGTTG